CCCCTGACCTCCGCACTATACAAAGGTACACCCCTAAAATAATAATAAATTTAAAAAAAAGGCCTGATGATACTCCTATATGATTCCAGCACTTGGTAGGTAAAAGCAGGTCCATCCTCAATTACATCATGAGTTTGCAGCAAGACCTTGTGTCTGAAAGAAAGAAAGAAACAAACAAACAAAAAACCCACCCCCAATAAAAACCACATGGTAATCAATAGAGATCTGGTCTGATTAAAAAAAAAACCAGGTCCACCCACTCCATGTAAAGCATGCTCAGCTGGGCATGGAGGCAACCTGCCTTTAACACTGGAGAGCTGAGGGACTCGGGTTTCTGAGTTCAAGGCCAGCCTGGTCTATATAGTGAGTTCCAGGTCAATTGGAGCTATATGGTTGGATTCTAATTATAAAAAGAACAACCACAAAAAAAAAAAAAAAAGACATTTCCTGTGTACCCATCCCAGTAATTTCTCAGACATTTGCCAAAGGGAAGAACATGACATGAAAAGTAAGGTAGCATTTCTACAGAATTAACATCATAGGGAGAATTTTCTAGAACTCATGACTTGTAATCAAACATGTGTAAGACAAGATTTTGTTTTGCCTTGCCTTCCATAGTAGCTGGCACACACAGCTGTGACCACCATGCCCTGCTAGATTTCTGCCCTGCACATCCCTTTGTAATTTTTTATTTTGAATAATTAATACAAAATCTTCAAAATTCCATTCTTTGGTTTGGAAAAAAATGATACATAATTCCTTGTAAAGAGCAACTAATAAACTAATATTTTGTTTCATTGGCTTTTTTTTTTGGATACAGGGTCTCTCTGTATAGCACTGGAGCCTGTCCTGGAACTTGTTCTGTAGACCAGGCTGGCCTCAAACTCACAGAGACCCACCTGCCTCTGTTTCCTCAGTGCTGGGATTAAAGGTGTGTGCCACCACCACCGCCCAGCTTTATTGGCTTTTTATTGGCTATTTGAATTGTGAGAAAAGAAGCCACAGGAAATGGCTTTGAAGACAGAAGGAGAACAAAGATAGAACAAAACTGTACCATAATCCTGGCACTTGGGAGGCAGAGGCAGGCAGATCTCTGTGAGTTTGAGGCCAGCCAGCCTGGTCTACAGAGTGAGTTCCAGGATAGCTAGGACTGTTACACAGAGAAACCCTGTCTCGAAAAACTGGAAAAGAAAAAGAAAAAGCCCAGCACTCAGGAGGCAGAGGCAGGTTGATCTCTGTGAGGCCAGCTTGATCTATAGAGCAAGTTCCAGGACAGGCTCCAAAGCTACACTGAGCAACCCTGTCTCAAAAAAATTAAATTAAGATTTGGGGGATTTCTAAGTATATACTGGAGAGAAGGGCTGAGGAGAAAGATCAGGATGATGGGTTGTGAGGTATTTCTGATGATGAGAATGGTTCAAAGTCTTTTAAGAACAGAGACAGAAGTCGGGGATAGTCACACACCTTTAATATCAGTGCTTGGGAGGTGGTGGAAGGTGGATCTCTGTGACTTTGAGGCTAATCTGGTCTACATGGTGAGTTCCAGGACAGCCAGGGCTAGACAATGAGACCCTGTCACAAATAAATAACGAAAGAACAGAGATGGCTGTTAGTTTAGGTAAATTTCAGGTCATTTGCTATGATGCTGTGAAAGGAGGCACTGTCTCTGACTCATCAAACTTAAGAGTCTACTACACTTAAGTGGGGGAATCAATGTGGAGCCAGAGGGGAGATCAGCCCTGGGCCCACAATTTGCTCCTTAGGGTTCTTTTATATCACTGAAGGCCAAATGAACATTTACTGTAAAATTGCAGGCCCAGGTTGATTAGTCAGGGCTGGTGTGATTTTTTTTTTTTCTCCCCTCATTTTCTTCTTACTCCCCACCAATGTCCAATCCAGGGACTGGATCTCAAAAAGACTCGAGAATCCTTAATCATAAGATAGTGTTGTTTGGAGCTGGTGATAAAGCTCAGCTGATAGTATTTGCCTAGCACACATAAAGCATTAGGTTCAGACTCAGCAATGTGTGGTGTACATGCCTATAATTCAGTACTCAGAAGGTAGAGGCAGGAGGATCAGAAATTAAAGGTTATCCTTGGCTACATAGGGAGGTCACCCTGAACTACAGGAGACCATCTCAGAAAGAAAGAAGGAAGGAAAAAAGGCTTAGAGGCAGTGCAGTGGGAGAGGGCTTGCCTAACATCTAGGAAGCCTGGGTTCGAAATTTGGCACCACCAACCCTACAAAAAAGGGGAGGGGATGGAAAGGGCACTTGCTATACAGGCACAAGACCTGAATTCAAATCCTTAATACCACATTAAAAGGCAAGTATGCCTATAGCCCTAGTATGCTGTGGTAGTGGGGCACAGAGACAGGGCTTACTGGCTGCCAGCTTAGCTCCAGGTCCAGGGAGAAAACCTCCCTCAAAGGAATAGGCAGAGAATGAAAGAACAGGACCCAACAACCTCTGCTCATGTACACGAGAGCATCCACACCCAAATGTATTTGCTCAGAAACGGGAAAATCCATTTAAAATTAAAAAATATATATACCTGTATTTTCATCATTTTCAATGGTCTCTGGTGGATCCCACCTTCCCAGGACTTCCATCAAATCCTTCCTGCCCTCCCTTGACATTTATGCCTGCTCTGCTACTTACAAGTTCTACAGGACTACAGCACAGTGGATCCCAGGCTTGTTGATGGTTGTCTATGGGACAGTGAGTATTCAAGGTCTTTCATGGCTTGTGCTGTGCCTCACCTTCTAACTACATATATATCCCAGGAGTTCATACCTGTCTTCTCTGGCCACACTGCTCTCTTTGCCTTACAATCCCTGTCTTCCTGCCTTCCTTTCCCTTTGCCCCATAAAGTTCATGCTCCAAACCTGACTTCTCTCTGGAGTTGAACCTGCTGCTTCATGCAACATGAGCTCAGTACTTCTTACATAGGCCTGCTTTCAAGAAGCACTGCAGTCATGGACTGCTCATTTCTTCTTCATCCCCCAACACAGTGCCTATCCTGACTGGCATGGCCAAAACATCAATGGGTAATTCAGTGACTGATTTGCTTACTGTCTCAGGACCTGGGGCCAATCATAGTGTAGCTGAAGGCACCAGTATAGTGAAATCCACTGGATATGACCCAGGAACCCACAGGTAGGCACTGTGGGTGTTGGTGCTCACTGGCTGTGTATGGCTTCTCTAGACCAGTGTTCTCCAGTCTTCTGTATTGTGCCACTGTGGAACACTGTAAGGGAAATCACGCCTGTGTTTCCCACATCTATCCTCATGCAGCCACGATTTCACTATCACAAATGTCTTCTCTCTCATATTACACTTCAAGCTTGACAAGAATTTAGTCTTACACTTGTTCACTAAATGTTGAATAGTGATCAAGGCCCATCTATCTTCACTCTTATCCTCTAAACACTTTTTCTGCAGAATGACACAAATCACAAAATGTTAAGGGATCAGGTCAAACTTAGTGGCACACACCTTTAATTCCAGTACTCAAGAGACAGAGGCATGCAGATCTCTGTGAGTTCCAGGTCAGCCTGGTCAACATAACAAGTTCTAGCTAGGCCAGGCAGGGGTGCATAATAAGACACTGTCTTTAAAAAAAAAAAAAAAAAAAAAAAAAAAAAATTCCACGGGAGGCAGACAGATGTCTCTATTTGAGGCCAGCCTGGTCTACAGAGCAAGTTCTAAGATAGCCAAGGCTACACAAAGAGAATCTGTTCCAAAAACCCAAAACCAAAACAACAAACAAGCCAAAAGGGTTAAGGGACTCCAGGCCTGACCAGTATCCCTCTGGAGGATAGACATGACCACTACTACCGTGAAGCAGAGCTGCTGTGGTGGTAGCCTACAGTCACAATGAAATAAACACAGCCACTGGGTTTATGGTAATGGCAGTGAGGCTGTTAATGTCACTTGTAGAAGGAGTGGGGGGTCACAGCTGACCTCACTAGAGGACCCAGTCAGCCCTCCCTCCACCCTAGTTGTCTATAATCTTAGACATGCCGTGTAAGAGGTAGGAAACTGACTGGGGTGGAACTCTTTAGTGGTACCCTGGCAGAGGTGTCCATGCTTCTGTAATTAACCTTAGTAAACCCACTCACCAAGCTGCACTGGGTGGAATCCATCTTTGGTCTGTTGGAGTGAATACTACTTTTATGGTTCCTTGTCTCTCTGTACTCTTGAGTAGTGGCCTTTGCAAGGCTCTGTACCTAGGAGTGTGTAATGGCAGTATAGAGCAATACTGAGACCCAGGAGTCAGCTGTCTGGACAACGAACAGTTTCCAGAGGTGTCTAGAAATAGCTCTCAGAGCTAGGTGTTTTAATCTTCCTGGTTTCTCCCCTCCTTTCACTATTTGAGACTTTAAGCAGACATACACACACACACACACACACACACACACACCTGGGTTCTTGCTATTCTTGAAAAAGACGTGGATTTGGTTTCTAGCACCCACATCAGGAAGGGGCCATACTAGCATAAGCCATTCAGAGTGTACTGGAGGGTAGTAGGACCCACCAAACTGGGCTCCAGGGCCTTGGCTGTCAATAGCTCCATAATCTTTGGAAATCAGCTTCTGGGGGGGGGGGGCTGTTAAAATGAACTAGACTCAAGCTAGGTGTAAAATGTTTTAAACATATATCTCAGTAGCTATTACCCCTCCCACACATACTTCTAGTAATCAAAAATATTCGGATTGTATGTTCTATTATTTAGATTCTGAATTGTCTTTGTATGCATTTGAAAAGTAGTATATTCCCCCCTCCCAAAAAAAATCCCTGAACTGGAGGGTCCCCACCTACTCTACTGGAACTACACTGAACACCTCCCTTGCACTTATCTCAAGATAACTTGTGTTCCTAAAATCAGCCTCCTTCCAAAAGCTGAGTGAAGAAATCCCAGCTCCTTGGGCCGTAGTTCATTGAGGTCTGCTGTAGGATGCCAAGCTGGAGGACCCTCCAGCTTTGGGAACATGCAGTCTGCAATCTGGATACCTTTTATTTAATTTCAAGAATTCCCTTTGCACGGCAAAAAGGGGTCTGAGGAAAGCAGAGCAGCGCAGATGAGCAGGACAGAAGCAGAGTGCTCACAAAGGTGGTGCCATGAAATGCTGGTCACCCACCATGCTCCCTAGCTGGGAGAGAAACTGGATCCACAAGAGGAGCAGGAAAGCCATTTTTGACACAAACAAGGGTCCTGGGGCATGCCACCCCACCCCAGTGCCTGGCCATGCAAGATGCTGAAATGGAGACTGGCCCACCAGGCTGTGGTGCTGGGAGCCGTGGACGATGAACCAACATGGAAAGGAGTCCTCTGGGCGCTTCCCATGGCGCCTGCAGGGTCAGAGCATAGTTCTGTGTCCATGTCCATGAGCACAATTAGTTAACAGATAGCACCACCTGGGATGGATGCCCAGGGCAGGAGAGAGCTCAGGCTCTAGCACCCACTTGCCCAACCCTCTTGGGCAGAGTCTCATTCCTTGGTGGCTACTCTAGCAGCTGGTTTTTCCTCACCCTGTGCCCTGGGAAACTGGAGTAAATCATCAGGGTGAGGTCTGACCCAGGGCACCAGCTGCCTCTGGAGGGCTGGGGGGACCAAGATGCTAGGGCAAACCTAGACATTTTACAGCCAATCAATTCCCCATTCCCAGTAACCCCAGGAGTTGCCCCTGTTGCTTCTGAGAGGATTTGGGGGACCCGGGGAGGGGAGGGAGAGAAGAGAGAGACCGGGACGGCCAGGTGAGAGCGGTCTGAGACCGACAGAGGTAGGCAGTGTGTGCGGTGGGGACACTGCACTGGCTGGGGCCCTGGTGCGGCTCAGCCACACTGTTCTCACGTGGTCTTGCTAAACATCTATCTCACCCGTGTCTCACTTTCCTTAGTTACCACATCAAGAAAATCCTACCGCACCTATCTCGAAGGGATAAGCTAAGGGTGTACATAGATTAACGGATAGAAAACACTCTTAAAAAAGTATAAAGCGCTGTTAGAGCACGAGGCAGTGTTGTCAAGAGAACGTCACCCTTAGCGCTTTCCTCAGTTTCCCATTGCGTCTTTGCTTTCTTTTTCAGGGCGTCTTCTCACCTTAGGATGGATCATATTTCCTTATTTTAGAAGGATTTTGAAACTCCCTGTTCACTCTCCCTGATCAGAATCTGTGGCCCCCGTGGCCAGTGGGCACACTAGGAAGTCCAGGGTGTGTCCAAACGATTCCTGCTGCCTTGCGGTCCCTCTGGAACCTTCCCTGGCCACTGGTTTTACCCTATGAGATGAGCTGGGCTGTCCACAAGAGTTGGACAGTACTGGGGTACCCCGGTCCACCCCTTGGAATACCCTGTCTGGAGTGCAATTCCTGTGCCGATTTCCAGCAGGAGTGGGGAGAGGGCGAGGAGGTGTGCTGAGAAAGGTGGGGTAGGAGGGTTGGTCCTCAGGAACCATGGCCCGCCCCAACTCCAGTCCGGTCCTCCCCGCCCCCCAGCCCAACCCTAGTCTCGCTCTGGCGGCACCTGGAGCGGCCGTGGCACCCCCAGGCCAGGGCCATTGTGCACGCGCAGGTGGTCCTTCAGTGATTCCTTGTAGCGGAAGCTTTTGCCGCACTCGCCACATGTGTAGGGCCGCTCGCCGGTGTGGATGCGTTGGTGCTTTAGCAGGTTCTGCTTGCGGATGAAGCTCTTGCCGCAGAGAGCGCACTGGAAGGGCCGTTCGCCCGTGTGCAGCCGCTGGTGGTTTTGCAGGTGCTCCTTGCGGCTGTAGGTCTTCTCGCACTCAGAGCATTTGTAGGGCCGCTCACCACGGTGCGTCATCTGGTGGCGGATGAGACCGGAGTGGCAGTTGAAGCTTTTCTCGCACTCCGCGCACTCGTACGGACGTTCCTTGGTGTGGCTGCGGTGGTGGATGATGAGGCTCTTGCGCACGCCGAAGGTCTTGCCGCACTCCAGGCAAGAGTAGGGCTTGCTGCGCGCACCATGAGTCAGGAGGCTCCTCCGCAGGCCGCCTGGGCAGCAGCTGCCACAGCCACTGCCCGCACCCGCACTTGTACCGGTACTGCCGCCACTAACGGTACCAGTGCCGCCGCCGCCGCTTCCGCCACCGCCTCCACCTCCCGCGCTGCCTTCCCCACCGGGCTGAGTCTCGCCTCCCGTACTGCGATCTCCCTGAAGCGCGGGGAAGCCGTCCTCAAGCAGACTGCGGCTCTCAGCGCCACCAGGGTTATCGGGCACCGCCAAGGTTGGAAGGCTCTGCTGGTGAGGCTGGGGCTGCGCAGAAGCCAGGGGTGGGTTCTTCACCAGCAGCAGGCTGTCACCTGGAGGGGGGAAGAGAGACAGAACGACACGCTGATAGTATCCCACAGTGTTCCGGAGCCTGTCTGGATCCTCCAGACCTCAGTTTCATTTGGTGAGCCCGAATGCTCACCAAAGCCCCCATGCTTTGGGATTAAAGACAGGAGAGCCCTCCAGATAGCTTCTGCTACCCAGAAGTCAACTTCAAAGGTAGACTGTTCAGGGTTAGCTGGTGTTCTAGAGCACCAGCTCTTCCTCAAGATCTGGTTTGGATTCCCAGCAACGCAATGCAATTCACAACTGTCTAAGTCCAGTTCTAGGGGATCTGATGCTCTCTTCTGGGCTCCATGGGCACCAGGCACGGACAGAGAGCACAGACACACATGCAGGTGACATCACACACACACACACACACACACACACAAACACAAACACAAATTTTGTAAAGACTGAACTGGGCGTGGTTCACGCCACATGCCTTTAATCCCAGTACTGGAGAGGCACAGGTAGGGGGGATCTCTGTGAGTTTGAGGGCAGCCTGGACTAGAGTGAGTTCCAGAACAGCCAGTTACATAGAAAAACTCCATCTTGGCGGAGCATAGGGGGGTGGGGGGGTGACTTAGCTGTAGTCTGAGGGGCAATGATAATTTATCTTTGGAGAATCAACAGGAAGGAAGCTTTTCCCGAAGTAAAAACCCATCTAGAGGCTTGCCAGAATGCTCAGTCCCAAACCTCAGAAGAATGTTCAGTTAGGGCCTGAAAAACAAGTTGGGCAACTAGGATGGTGTAAGTGCTATCAGGACCTAAGGGGACCCTGGCCTCTAACAAAACTGCTTCTGCCCAGGCAATGGTGCTTTTCCCTTGTACCCCAGCATCTCCAGGCCATGAGTTCCAAAGCTCATCACTTCTCTGAATGTGTGTGTGTGTGTGTGTGTGCGCAGAGTCCAGGCTCTTTGTGTCAGAACAACAATCTCAATTCCCTATATTTAGGAGTCTTCCTATGCCTCTTCCTCTATCATACCTCATTATGGTCCTCCTTCCCACAAGAGAAACCTGGCCTCTTTTCAGAGGCAGTGTATAAAGATGAATTTTATCCACTCCTTTCTCTACTCAGGACTACCATTTGGGAGCAGGACCAAATGGAGGCCATTTCTCAAATCACATCTGCCATGTTTCTACCCCATTCTTGAGACTCGTTGGCATCTTGAAGCCAGTTCTGAAACACCACCTTACACAGACCAGGCAGCCCTCCTTTCTGGTTTAGTCATCCTGACCACTATTTCTGTAGGAGTGGCCAGGAGCAAAAGCCAAATTCATTCTCACCTATATTCTACATGTTCAAATGCATTATCCTGGCCACAAAGCATTTTGTGGGATTGTTATGGTCCCTGTCCCAGCTACCATGTAGGTTTTTGCTGATGTGCAACCAAGGCCTGTGACTTCACTCCTTTCACAGCACACTAATTCTCAGAGATGCTTCCTGGGGAGCCCACCTACAATCCTACTCTGATAATTCTTGAATCTCAGCATGACCAGAGGTCCATTTTCTTCACTTTCCATCATGCTCTGCAGCCCAGCCTTTGTTTTCTCTGCCTGGCCCAATTCTGCACTCAAGGCCTAGCCATACAATCACTCTATGGCAAACATCCTGGTGGCTTTTCATTCTTCTGCAGTTCAGTTGTGTAGAGAATCCCAATATTCCAGCTTCTCTCTGCACTTACTGCACATCTGTCCTGAGGGGCCTTCCCACAGTCGGTGCCCTGGCTCTTGTCCTCAGTGACTTCTGCTTTTCCACTCTACAATGGCTGTAGCTGTGTCTCCTCAGGCTCTTACTTTCTAGTTTCTGCTGGAAACTGATTCAGATACAACCAAGAGATTGAGATCTGGAAATTAGGTGTGAGAAGTTTGCTGGGAGACTTCTGGAAGGTTCTTTAGACCTTAAAGCAGTGTTTCTCAACCTTCCTAATGCTGTGACTCTTTAATATAGTTCCTCATGTTGTGGCAACCCCCCACCATCAAATTATTTTTGTTGCTTCTTCATTACTGTAATTTGGCTGCTGTTATGAATCATAATATAAATATCTGTGTTTTCTGACGGCCTTAGATGACCCCTGTGAATGAGTCATTCCACCCCCTGAAAGAGGTGGTGACCCATAAGTTGAGAAACATTGCTTTAGAGTTTGCAGGGAAAAAGTGGACTTTCCTCTTCCTGATAGGTCTATATTTGTGATACTTGGGATAGCTGATGGGATGTTTGACATCAGCCCAAAGTTGGTGCCACACCAGTGGTGGTCACTAAAAGAGGTTGAAAGAACCTAGTTCCTCAAAAACATAGTTGGGTCCTCAAATCAAGTCCAGACCCTGGACTGCATACTCTAGTTACATAGCAGACAAAACTTCTTTATCTCTCAAGGTAGTTGAAATCAGGGCTCTAAAGGAGTTAACAGTCTACGTACTGGAGCTGGATAGATGGCTCAATGGTTAAGAGCACTTGATACCCTTCCAGGGGACCAGTGTTAAGTTTTTAGCACCCACAAGCAGCTCACAACCATCTGAAACTCCAGTCCCAAGGAATCTGATGCCCTCTTCTGATATCACTGAGTGTGCACACACATGTGCATAGACATATATCTAGGAGAAAACTCATAAGATAAAGGAAAAAGTACCCTGTCCCATCTCCCACCTCATCTAATTTCCCTATTCTTTTACATAGCCATATTTATCATGAGTCAGTCACTTACATTTGTTCTTACCACTTCATCACTCTGCCTGCACTCAGGTTTGAATCCAGGGCCTCACACATGGTGGTGGCGAAGTTGTACCACTGAAGTGTCCCCAGCAGTTTTTTGGTTTTTGTTTTTAAAACAAGGTCTCCTCTGTAGCCCTGGCTGGCTCTGAACTCACAGAGATTCATCTACCTCTGCCTCCCAAGTGCTGGGATTAAAGGCAAGCACACCACACCATATTCATGACCTTCCTAAAAGGTCATGAATAATCTCCAGCTTGTCAAATCCAATAGCCTCTTCTCTGCCAAGCATATTCAATTTCTCTTGGTTAATTGACATAATTTTTTCTCTCCTTTCCACCCAAGAGATTATTTTCTTCTTAGCCTCAGTAAAGCCAGTTTTGGTCTCTACTGAAATGTCTTTCCTTAACTGTTGTCTGTATGGTTTAAGAACTCACTTAGCTCATAAGCCTTGAAACAACTAGTGTAAATTATTTGATTCTTTGGCCCTGGTTCTGGGAATCTCTAAATCCTTGGAGAGTTCTGAATCATTAGCAAAAGTGTCCTTATTGCTCCAAGTGGACACTGATAGAAAATGTTAATGGACTGGCGTATGGTGGACCTCTAGACAGGTGACACTGGATGACTCAGGATGGAGCTGGCTATGCCAAAAAGACCAAAAGCAACCTCATAATTAAAATTGGGATTTGTCACTCAACTTTGAGGAAGAGGATAAGAGAGAATGAGTTAGATCTCATGGTGTTGATTCAGTCAGTCACACCCACAGTAAAACTTTGGACACTGAAGCTTAGGGGAGCTTCAATGCATGGACATATTCTGCATACTGCCACATATTAGTGTGCTGGAAGCATGGCATATCCTGACTTCATTGGGAAGGGACCATCCCAGACCTATCAAAATGTCTTCCTTCTGCTGCTTCTGATTTGAGTCTATTGGCTACAATAAAACTGCAATTATAAGCACAGCATATTCCTCAGTTTTCCAGGGAATTCTATCATATGTTTGAATTTGAGAGGTAGTGGGAATTCTAGAATTTGGAGCCCTAGGTAAAGGTGGACTGAAGCCTCACAAACTAGATGCTCATATCTGAAGTGAGTGCCATATTAAACTCAACCAGGTAGTCATTCAACCTGTAAGTCTACCCAGCTCTAAACTTTCTGTTGAACTTTAGACTCCTATACTCATTACGTAGCTCACTACTTGAAAGCCACCTGAGATTTTAACAGAGTCAAGTGTAAAACACTCAGCTTCCATAGCTACCTGGCCATTCCCCATGCACTCCAGCAAATGGTCATGCCCTGCATCCTTTCTCTTCAGATCCAGATCTAGAAGGCATCTTGATTACTCACTTTACAGGTGTCCACCAGTTACTGCCCGTCCTTCTCTACATGAGCACAGCTACTGTGCTCACTCTGATTTCACTTGGTTTATTGCAAACTTATCAGCTTGAAAAACATCTCCTTAGCTTCCCTTCTAGCTCTAAACTCATCATGCCCATTCTTGAACTGACCTTGTAAAAATGGAAACCAGGGGGATGGAGAGTACTGTTACAGAGGTTCTGGTTCAAATCCCCTCCATGGCAGCTTACAACTGTCCATAATTCCAGTTCCAGACAACAAACGTGCATACAGTGCATATAGATATATGCAGGTAAAACACTCAAACATGTAAAATAAAAATGAGTAAGTCTTAAGAAAAATATGGTCAGGCACACTCAATAATAAGGCAATCAGATCTCATTACATTACCCTAATGAACTCCCACTGCGAGGCTCCTTTCTTATTAGAATACAGTTCAGGGCTGGCATGATGCCTAGTATGTAAAGGCACTCAATACTTGTCTGATGATGTGGTGGGATCTCTAGAACCCACATGGTGGAAGGAGAGAACTGACTCGAAAAAGTTGTTCTTTGAACACACACACACACACAATACAGGAATTTACCCACTCTACCCACTGCCCTACCCCAGCTCCTAAGGCCTCCTTCACTTTGTTCTTGCACTTCCCTGTAGTCTAATATTTCAGATAAGTCCATGTCTCCTCTTTTTGGAGGGTCTAGAGCACATTCAGCTATCCCTTTCCCAGGAGGCTGTTCCTGGCTCTTTTGCCCTTAGCCTCTTTGCTTGTTCCCTTCCTATTTTCCTGATTGGTACCCTTGGAGCACTGGCTACACACTACTTTTACTTAATGATTGCTTGGTGGCTTGCTTATTGTCTTTCCCCTTTCCACAAAGGAAAAAGTCTTCATTCTCCGCTTGTCCTGTGTACTTACAACAGTGCATATCACTAAGTAGGCACTAGTATATTACTGTTAAATAAACAGAAACTAGGAAAGGTGGGCCCCATTGTTTTGACCCAAGGCAGTGGATAACATGAAAATTTCAAGAAGGTGCCTTTAAAATACAGGGATCTGGGTAGAGATGCCTAGCTCAGCCTCCTCTGGAAGCATATAGTAGCAATGGGCTCCAAAATTCTACCCAAACCAGTCTAATAGTCTCATGCACTGTAGATTTCAGTGAACTGGATTTCCAATCTTTCCCTACAGTCTCAATTCACACCTATTAATATATAAAATAAGGAGTCTTTTTCACTAAAATACTACTATCCAGTTGAGCTAAAGTCAAACCTTGAGTCCAACAAGGACACCTGTGCATGTACTCTCTCTTGTGCATAGCCAAGGACTTGGGAAGGAGGCTGAATAACCAGATAGTATCTATTTCTATATTTCATCCCTTGCCTCTACTACCCTCTTCCTGCCAATCCCTTTCCAGAAGGTTCTTATGCATAACACCACATCTTCCAAATCATCCATCTAGCTGTCCCTGGAAACCACTGTACTAAGGCTACTATTTTTTTTTAAACAAAGATTTTTATGTATGGGGCTGAAGAGATGTTTCAGTGGTTAAGAACACTTCTTGCAGAGTGATCAATCCCCAACACCTGCATGGTGGCTCACACTTGTCTATAACTCCAGTTCCAGGGGATCCAATGACCTCTTCTGACCTCCACATTTAAATGGTGCACATACATACATGAGGACAACACTATACACATAAACAAAAATAAATGAATCTAAAGGTTTGAAAGATCTTATTTCAATTATATGTATCTATATGTGGTATGTACATGAGTTCAACACCCATGGAGGCTGGGGTTGTAGATCCTCTGGAGCTGGAGTTATAAGGGATTGGGAGCCAGCTGCTGAGGATGCTGGGAACCAAAGTGCAGTATATACCCTTAACTACTAAGCCACCTCTCCAGTCCAAGAAATTGAGAAGATCTAGATGGGTTTTGTTGTTTTGTTTTTTATGACGTAGATGTGTCTGTTGTACTAGAGCCATCTTAAACCTCAAAGAACCACAGATGAAATGCAGGTTTCAAATTCTAGTCTTAATAAACAGTAGGCAGGTTCCCTTCAGGAGAAAGAAAAGAAGTCTTGCAAAAAGGCTATAGTAACTGATGGAAGAAACATTTCTAGATTCTCATGCCTCTGCAATTCTGGGCATTGCTTCCCCCAAAGAAAATACCCTGACTCAAAATGTCCTGTGAATTATCATATCCAAACTGAAGTAGGAAATACCCCTTTGTAAATCCTAGCAAATCCTCTGGGGGCTTTCTCCAAATCTGTTGCTATACCTGCACAGACCCAGGAAAAGGCTCCTCCAGGCCCATGTGCTCCTAGCCATCTAGTGAATTTCCTGGCAATGCCTGATGAGCTAGTTCCTATGCCTTCAAGGCCAGACCTAAAAGGCCAGGAATGTGCCTCAGTTGTTAGAGTGCCTGCCCTAGTGTGTTTAAAGCCTTGGGTTTGAACCTCAGAACCACATAAAACTGGGTTTGTGGTCACAGGCCTATAATCCCAGAACTCAGGAGGTGGAAACAGGAGAATTGGGAGTCTAAGGCCATCATTGGTTATATAAAGAATTCAAGGCCAACCTGGGCTACTTGAGCTTTTGTATAAAACATAAAATGTAACTAAATTAAAAATGCCAAATCTAGAAATGGTGGTTGGGGGCAATTGAGGTGGTTGCTAATTATTATTTCTTCCAGTGCCAGTGGCCAATCTTGTTCTCCACATCATTTGCCAACAGGCTGTAAAAATGACTGCTCTAATTCCACTTTAAACACAGACTCACCTAGACCAGTGACAGTTCCTCTAGATTCTAAAAGGCTGCCACCAGCAAAATCACCCTAGAAAGGAGTAGGTCGAGGCAAACAACTCTATTACAGGCTTCAACTGCTCTAGATCTAATACCCCAGGATTCTAGAAGAGGCACATGACTCACTTGGGCCAGAGTCTAATCCAAGCTCTCCTTCCATTGAGTCACGAGGGCCCCATGGGTACGGCTGCTCTTCCTGCTTGATCCAGGACAAAATGTCATGTGCTGAGATGAGAGGTTCTGTTGTCAGGGGGGGAAAAGGCAATCTTAAGACTTCATTCATTTTCATTGAGCATCCACTATCTGCTAAACTCCAAAGAGATCACCAGGTCAGGCTATGCTGGAGGGAGGCTCAGCCTTGAAGGCCCACAGTGCCACAGTTGGTTGGTTTGACTAACTGCAGAGGCAGCAGTTACTGACAAGCCTTTGTTAAGACTGAGGGCTCCGCTTCCATCTGCCCAGTCCCCTCAATGAACTCTTAGACTCAATTTCTCATCCTCTCTCCCAAATATGGAGAATAGGATGAGACCTCCCAGCTCTACAAACTCATACATAAACCCATCCCCAGCCCTGGGTGGGATGGGGGAAGGGAAAATTTTCACAGAGATATCACACAAATGAAATTCCAGAAAGGGGATGGAGGGATAACCCTGTGATTAGCAGAAGACTCAAATTCAGTTCCTATCACCCACATCAGTAGATTATAACCTTCTATATTCAAGCCCCAGGGAATCCAGCCTCTGTAGAAACCCACATATGGATAATTAAAAATAAAATAAATCCTAAAAAAAAGGAAAAGAAATTCCAGAAAATATAAATTACTTGCTCTTTGACATACAAATGCACATAGATTTTTGAAGCCTTTCGGTTTTGAAATCTTCAAAAAGCAATGCTAAGGTAATTTTTGTATCAGTTCCATTGACACAATGAATGGCAAATTTAATAATTCACTCTGACATCTTTCTCACCTGAATTGGGATCTGTGGGAATATCTCTCTCTGCCAAATCCTGCTGGTCCCACACACACTGCTGTTCCTCTTGCTTAATCCGGGACAAGAGGTCCTGGGCAGAGATGGGGGAGTCTACTCAGGAGAATAAAGGCAACAAAAGTATTAGAGAAGGAGAAATTCCTGCCAGTCTGTGTTTTCAGTGAATCTGGTTTCATGTAATTATTTGCTTTCCCTAAAAGTCAAGTATAAGAATAAATAAATTATCCCAATTAACTAAAGGTTCCAGTCACTCTAGTCATAATAAATGAAGCTGTGGCTGAAGGTCAGTGGATGTAATAGGGCAGTGAATAGGGTACAAAATGCCTCCAGAGACTTAACTAAGCAGGATGAGGTCTGTGCTCTGGAGCTATGAAGCCACAGAAGAATGGACCTTATGAGGGGATTTCCCAGGAAAACAGTCTTTCCATGGAAGCCTCTTATCAATATCTGAATGGAAGTTTTCTAGGACAAAGCATACTTTTTTTTCACAGACTCCTAAACTCATATGTAATGCCTATAATCCCCACACTTGGGAGGTGAGCCAGGATGATTAAAAGTTCAGGGTCACCCTTGATCACATAGAAAGTTTGAGGCTAGCCTTGGTTACATTAGTTCTGTATCAATGTTTTGGTTTTTTTTTAAAATATAAATCTTATTTAAATTAGAAACAATCTTATTTTACATATCAGAACTCCCCCCCCTTTTTTTAATCAAACTCAATTTATCATCTTCTTATCTCTTAACAACACCAATCCTTCCTAGGTCTCATCCTGCTAACCTACTTGCAAGCAAATTTTGGATCTGTCAGCCTCTATAATCACATTAGCTAGTTTGTTAAAACAAACCTTTCTACATTTATACATGTACACGATCACGTTGCACACACACAAACCATTGGTTATGTCTCTTTGGAGAACTGGGCCTCATGCACATATCTGCCATAGCAGATTCTCATCTAAACACAGCCCACCGGCATGCAGCAATGGGGTCCCTGGTTTGGAAGTGGCAGCCCGTAAGTATTTGTGTAATGTATCTTTGTGGTCCAGGAATAGGTCTTACTGGCTTTGATATTCTGCCACCTAGTGAGCCCAATAAAGTGTTTTTATTAAGCTATTTTTATATGGGACAGAGGGACCATCCAAAACTCTATAGACAAAGGAGAGAAAAAAAATCAGAACTAGCAAAGCTGAATTGTTCTATAAACCCTCCATGCTGACTGTCATGTTTGTACCTCTGTAGAAGCCTTGTCTCAGTCCAGTTCTGTTTTCATAGCTCTTCCTTTGCTAGCATAGCCCTCTAGACTAACACCCTCTGGAGGCTACTGGCCACACACTGCCTCACCTGTCCTGTGCCAAGTGGCTATTTGGCTCACTTACCAGTGATGGATTCTGTGGGGATGACTCTTTCTTCCAGGCCCCTCTGGCTCCGAACACACAGGGCTTCCTCTCGCTTTACCTGGGAGGACAAGTCCTGTGCAGGCACTAGGGGCTCTGCTCCTGGGGAGAGAGAACCACACGTTTTAGAATCCTTTTTCAGTATGTTGCTCACCAAGATGTACTATGGTCAGAATCATGGTTGTCAGTACTTCCAGGGGACAGTACAAGAATCTTGGAGTATACCTAGTAGAGTCATGTGGCACCCTGTGGAACAGAAAGTCCCAATAGCAGAGAAGTGGGAATATTCATGGTTGCAATCCCAGCAGTCAAGAGGCTGAGGCAGAAGGATCACCGTGAGTTGGAGGTCAGTTTGAGCTATATAACGAGTTCTAATCCAGGTTGGGCTCAGAGTAAGTCCCTGTCTCCAAAAAAAAAAAAAAAAAAAAAAAAAAAAAAAAGTCTAAGACAACAGCAGCATGAATTCTGAGACACCAAAGAAAGACTTTGGAGAGAGTATACCAGATAAGGGCTGGGGCTAACCGGATCTCAGAGCAAGTTTGTGCAGGGGTCACTTGCCCTTGTTTTTTTTTTTTTTTTTTTTTTTTTTTTTTTTAACCATAATGTCCAGACACAAACATTGCTCTATGAAGCAATCAGGTTGGGCAGAGGTACAACCAAATCCTGATGTTGGGTGAATAATCTGGGACAATGTAATAGCTTTTTGTGGAAGACAGCTCAGGCAACAGGACAGAGTAGAGGAGGATCTGAACTCCAGCACAACCTTGCTCTGCTCTGTGGGCCACTTTATCTCCCTGGGTTTCAGTCTCCCGGTTTCATCTATTGTGGAAGGAGTGGTTCTGGTTCTGTTTTGATAACTCAGTGAAACTGTTGAGGTCACAAAGCCTAAAAGGTAAAAAGCTGCCATACAACATTAGAGTCTGTAACCACAGCTGCCAAAGAATACCTGAGGTGCTTGATTAAGACTGGGAAGGGGCACTGAAATGAAACATCCGTCATGTGAAACCCACAGAGACAAAGGCAGGCCTACTTTGCTAGGACTGCAAGAAGGGGAAGTGGGCTGCTAGTGAGCACTGGGGATTCCCAATCTGCATGTATGCAGAAGAAAGCATGAAATCCCACTATAGATGCAGCCACCATGTGGTGGCTGGGAACTGAACTCAGGACCTCTGAAAGAGCAGCCTGGGCTCTTAACCATAAAGCCATCTCTCCAGACCCAAGTTATAATTTAAAAGGGAGAATTTTATGACCAATAAACGGATGGCAGATGTCATTCTGTAAATATGTTTTCTCTTATTGGTTAACGAATAAAGCACTGTTGGCCTATAGGAAAGCAAGATAGGCAGGACTAGGAGACAAGGAAGATTATGGGAGATATAGTAGAGAGGAGTTGAAATGTAGGACACAAGAGGAATAAGAGGTCTGCATCCTCTCTCCAGTAAGATAAGACCACGTGGAAACACTTAGATTGATAGAAATGAGTTAATATTTAAGACAGAGCTAGCCAATAAGAAACGCTAGTAACAGGCCTACAGTTTCATAATTAATAAAGCATCTCTGTGTATTATTTGGGGCTGACGTGGCTGTGGGGCCAGGCTGGCAGGAAAATGCATATAACAATGAAAAATAACAAAACTAAAGATTGGGAAGGAGAAAGAACAGTCCAGAAATTTCCATGAAAATATTATTTAAAAAACAGTGGTAAGGATGAAAGCCAATGGGTGGGGATTCATAAGTCAAGCAGAGGATACCAGTACAGCATCGCTCCACAACTTGCCCAACGCTGTACAGGAAGCAGAGGAACCTGGGAAGGTCCTCCAGAGCAGAACTAGTGCTAGACCCTAGTGTCTTCCATCCTAGGAAGACTTGCCAAAAGTGATAGTCTTAGGACTAATGGTTCCCAAGTGGGGAGGTATGTGTGTATCAAAGCAAGAACGGGCTATGAGACATGAGATTACACTCAGGCAGTGAGCAGCCGGTGAGGCAGAAACACACCTCTGCTGCAAACTTCTTTTCCTCCTCCTCTATTAGTTTCCTTGAGTCTGGGCCTGGGGCCTTTAGCTGTTCCCAAGCCTAAGACCTCATGTACACCATCAAGTCTGGGAGGTGTCCCAACCTAAGCCCTTCCTTACTTGGTTTTTACTTTTTGAGATAGGGTCTAGCCTAGAATTCTTTACATAGACCAGGCTGGCCTCATACTCACAGAAATCAACTTGCCTCTTAAGTGTTAGGATTAAAGGTGCATACCACACCCAGTCCCTTCACTACCTCACCTGTAAATTCAGAGCTATCAAAGGCTGATTAGCTGCACTGCAACTGTGACAGCAGTGACCCCTAAGAGCATTAAGAGCTATTCTCTCCTCTCCTGACCCACACAGGATTGACTCTGTGTGAGTGCAGGGTGTCCAGCTCTCTTCTCCTGCTCCTCCCTGTTCCCATCCCTAGCTCAACAGCCATTACCTGTGTCTGCAGCCACTGGGATTTCTCTCTCTTCAGGGTGATGCTGCTCCCACACACAAGGCTCTTCTCTGGGTTCTGCCTGAACTGGAGCATCTGGCTTGGAAACCGGGCCATCCGTGTCTGTGAGATGGAGAGAAAGGGAAAGAAAGGTTGTATAAAGTTGACTAGTAAATTCAGATTGAGGTGATAGAGTAGTGTCTCTGTTACCAATGTCCCTCAGCATGGTAGCCATTGTGTAAGAAAGGAACCTTGAAAGTAAGCCAACAGGATCCTGGGCTTTTAATGTAGAAAGAACTGGTTTCCAAAAGTCAAGAGTACACAGCCCATGGTTGACCCCAGGCTGTTATGGTACAATACAAGGAGGTGTAAACTTGGTATTTTATGGTATTTTAGAATATAGTATTGTCACATACACTACCACAGTGACCAGCTCAACTGCCAACCTTTTAATTTTCATCCTACCATAAAAAGTTCCGTTTTCCTTTCCATTAGGCTCCTTTATATCTTGAAGCTCTCAGCAGAGAGCTCTCACCAATGGAGGGGAGGTATCCTTACCCAGGGACATCAGGGTTTTGTAGTTCTCCTTCACCAGATTGCTATAGAGCTCCTTCTGCCATTCGTCCAAGTTCTTCCATTCATCCTCAGAGAAGTAGACAGCAATGTCGACGAAGGTCACTGGGACCTGGGCCAACAAGGGTTTTAGTTAGCAGCCTGCTGCTGTTCCTCACCCCACTTTCCTGGGGCCACAGAGCCAACCTATCTCAGAGCTTGGCCTCTGTTCCCATAACCCCAATTTCTACATCCCAGCTCACATCCATTCATTTCTATAGATTCAGAATTCCCTGTAGCTGGCCTTCCTAGATAACCAATGGCAATGGTGGCAATGCTGTCCTTTTCCTTTTTCCTTCTTTTTTTGCAAACACTTTACTTATTTGCTGTGTATTGTGTATTGTGTCTGGAAGAATCTATGCAATGGCACACATGCAGAGGTCAGAGGACAACTTGTGAAACTGGTTCTCAAATTCTACCAGGATCCAAGTTGCCAGGCTTAGTAGCAAGAGCTCCTACCTGCTGAGCCATCTCTTGGCTCTCTCTCTTTTTTCTTTTTTCTTTTTATTAAGCTTTTAATCTTGTCTTTTGCTATTTCAGACAACTAGACACTGAAGGCAAAGCCATAGTCAGTGTGCTTCTTTGGGAGTTCAGGGTAACAGGGAACTGAGAGATTCCAAGTGGGAATCAGGAAGCCAAGCACTATAAAATTGGGCGACAAAACCTGTATTTCAGGTAAGATCACCTGTGTGTATGGAGTTAAATTTTTTTCAAGATTTTATTATTTTTATTTTATGTGTATGAGTTATCTTATGAATATATGTGCACCATAGATTTGCAGAGGCCAGAAGAGGAACTAGATCCTCTGGAACTGGAGTTACCATGGTTGTGAGCTTCAATTTGGGTGCTGGAAGTCAAACCTGGGCCTTCTAGAAGCCAGAGCCATTTTTCCAGCTCCCCCAAAGTTTTGTCACTGAAATGGACAATCCAAAGGCATGTGCCTCAGCTCCATGATCCTTCCCTGTCTTTATGAGGAAGTCCTGCCGGGGTTGTGGCTACCATCAGTCACTGACCATTGAGGTATTCTCGTCTGTTGTATAGAGCTGCTGTTTCATTCTGGCCAGGAGCCTCGTCCACATTCATTTCAGCCTCCTCTAGCACCACTTCACTCTGAACCAAGTTGTTTTATTTCCATTAATTAATTGCTGAATTTTCCTATCTGACCACACAGGCTTCCCTCCTTGCCCTCTCACATCCCTACTGAACCAGCATCTGGGTCACACATGGAGATCCAGTGCCTTGAATCTCACCCAGCCACTAGTTTACATGCCTTCATGTTCAGGTCAAAGCTGGCCTGAGGGGGACACTGGTGTGAATGATAAAGAGCCAGAAGGGCCAGGTGAGAAGCTACTGGTTCCAGGTCTGTCAGTCCACAAGCCAGATGCATGAAACTGCAAGGGGACCCTATGCAAGGGTGACATGCACAGCTGTGTGCAGTGGCCAAGCGCCTACCTATTGACAGCTCCTGGTCAATCGTTAGAATTAGAACTAGAACTCCTACCAGACTCGGGCAAATCCCCAATCTGGGAAAAAATGCAACTCCCTTTTTTTTCATTTTATTTCCCTGTTAGATGAAACCTCAGAATTCTGTAATCAACATCTGCCACAAGTTCATATCAGCTACCCCACAGCTGCTTTGGAAGCCCTTTGTTGACCTCTTATTGACACCTTGTCATGTTCCCCAGGAAGTTTATTGCAAGGCCCTGTCTGGTCTCCCTGAATCTTCTCCCGCCTGTCTCTGACCTGAGGCTGGTGTTAGGGAGTTCCTTTTTTTTTTGCTCTTCTTGCTAAGTCAAACCTACCATATTCATTCTGTATTTCTACTCCACCTACCATCTGCAAAAGTTAATCCAAATAATGGTGACTCTTTCATATCTCCAGCTTCTCCCTCTCACTGGCTCCTTCTCCTGAGGGTCATTCCAACTAAGAATAACCTTCATTCACTCAACTGGAAGATGGCTTAGTGGGTAAGGTCACTTGCCACCAAGTATGATGACTTGAGTTCAATTCCCAAGACCCACATGTTGAAAGGAGAGAACTTATTCATGACTCCTGTGTTAGGCAGGTGCACGTACACACACAGACACACACACACACATGCATGCCCTAAATAGAAATAACTAAGTAAATAAATAAACAAAATGTAAAACAAAGCAAACACTGTTGAGTGTGGTGGCACACACCTTTAGTCGTAGCACTCAGGAGTCGGGCAGAACTCTGCTATCTCAGTTCACTCTGCCCCTGCTCTTTACTTGAGATATCTAAGAAAGGTCTGTTTTTAATTTTTCAAAATCCATATACATTTTACATCTATTCTCTAAAACCAAACCATATCCTGAAAATTCACCAATGACTTGCTGTTAAAAATCTCCTTTTGCTAGATCAGACCACCTTTCTAGAGCTTTCTTGTTTGGTTCCTGTGACTATGTGCCTGTTATTCAGCTGGCTCATGTCCTTTTAGCTATTTCTTCTTCATCTCCTGAGATGAAGTGCTGCTATTATTCTTTGCCATTTCTTCTCCTTTCCCTTGGCAATTTCATTGTTTTTATTGCAACTGTTACCTCTTTGAGGATGGATTAAACTTTTCTTGTCCCCTTCAAAGTTCCACAGCCTTCTAAGTCATTCCTTCCATCAACTATAAGTACTTCACTCTAAATATACCCAAGGTATGTTCACCACCTTCTGCAGTACAGCAGATTCTTCACTTTATTTTACCATTTATTTGGAGAGTCAAAACTTCAGAACAATACATTTTGGAAATATACATCACTCTTTAAAAGCTTCATGGTAACAGAATACAGAAATCTAAGACACAGTCTGAGACAGAAGGGAGCCTGCAAGCTAGCTGTAGACAGGAAAGACTACCTATCAATTAGCTAGAAATTCATCAGTAGATACAACAGGCATAAAGGATCTAAAAGAATAACCTTCCTAGACCTAACAGATAAACAGAATGCATCTTGAACACCCAAGAACATACAGTGAGATATTAACTGTGGTAAGCAACATTCATGAACACTCTCCTGGTGCTCTAGGGTTATATAAAATACACCTGTGATTTCTTTTATGAATATGTGTTCATGTTTGTGTGTACAGGTTCACATATGTGTATGGGTATGTGTGTGTGTGGCAGGTGGCAACTTGAGACTCCTACCACTTTATTCAACATATAGAACAAGTGGTAGTAGGTAAGGATATTGCATAGATTAAGGCACACAGTACACAAAAAAGCAAAGGAAAGTGACTAGATGCTGATCATGCTGCCCAAAAAAACATATGCAAAACAGTTGATGCAACTCAATTTCTTACAGCCTAACTACACAAATGCCTGGCAGCTCTTCCGGTAGTGTCAATAGACTGGACATCCCATTGGATACAAAGATACACTAAGACATGGTCCCTTCCTAGTGGGTCTGAGCTCTTCAGTCAGAGACTAAGTAAATGTGTTTCACATTCCATCTCTAAGCTTATTGCCACTATAGACACAAGGCATAGCCATAAACCAATAATTTATATTCTGATTAGGGAAAGCTAACAAAAAGGATAAAAAAAAAAGTAAATATTCAAGATTCTGGAAGAACTTGGTACTGTTGATTATTTATTCACTTGGACAGGGTCTTGCTATGTAGCCCAGGCTGGCTTTGAACTCAATACATAGCCCAGGCTGACTGTAAACTCAAAATCTTCCTGTTTTCTAAAGCTGGTATTCCAGGCATGTGCTACCCCACTCAGCCTGGGGCTTGATTCCTTAGTAATAAGGTGAACAGGGAAGGCACACTGATTAAGTAACAACTAAGCTAACCCCCATGGGAGTGGGGAGCTGACTAGAGAAGCAGGTAGGTGATCAGGGAAAAAGCTTCCAGGAAGAATGTCCCTGTGGCAAGAGCATCTTGAGATGCTGGAGAGCAGCAGGAGGCCAGACAGCTGGCAGTTACTGGGCAAGAAAGTGGCAAACATGGATGTTTATTGGGAAATGAGATGGGAAGCCAGGAGTTGATGTGATGGCTCGGTATGTAGAGATACCTGACAACCTGAGTTCCACTCCTGAGACCCATATGGTAGAAAGTCAGAATCAACTCCAATAGGTTGTCATCTGATCTCCACAGACATGCTGTGGCACATATCCCTCATCCTCCTAAATAAAATGTAATTTTAAAAAATGAAACCAAAGATTGCATATAAACTACATTTAAAAAAAGAAGAAAAAGATGAGAAGCCATTAGATGGGTATAGTATGACTTTTTTTAAAAGACAGGGTCACATATATTCCTGGGGTGGCCTTGAATTTGCTATATGACCTTTAAATTCAGATCCTCCTGCTTCTACCTCCCATTTCAAGTGCTGTGATTACAGGCGTGTGCTACCATGCCAAAGTTTATGAGGTGCTAGGGATTAGTTCATGCATGTTAAGCAAACATTCTACCAACTTAGCTACATCTCCAGCCATGGATGAGGTATCTGAATGGGATCACTGCCACTATTCTTTTAGGAATATATTGTAGTGTGGTATCTAAACAAGGATGGAGGAGAACAGTAGACAGACAGGTCAAGAGATTGAGGCAATAAGATGAGATGAGACTGGCTAGAAGCACTCAACGGGGCTGGTCAGACTATGGAGGTGTTCCAGAAGGGCAAAGTGAGAAAGACAGTAGCTAAGACTGAAACCATGGAACTGTCATCAGCAAAGACGAGGGTGAGTTTGAACAAAACAGGGTTCAAGCAAAAGAACCATAATTCAGTCTGGTCATGTTAAATCCAGAGTGCTAAGTTAACAGGAAGAAATGTGAATCTGATATCCAAAAAAACTTTAATGGTGGGTTAGGTGGGAAAGGTGCATATGAGGGTCACGAGCAAAAAGGTTGCAGTTAAAGCATGGGTATGGATGAAGTTACGGGCAAATGAGTGCAAATGCTAAGACTGAGGCAGGGCCGCTCCACAAACGCTCAGAAGATGAAAAGAGGACACAAAGCTAGCAAAGCAGACTGAGGACCAGCTAGAGAAAGAATCAAGAGAGATCAGCATCCTGGAAGCCACATGAAAAGTGTTTCCAGGAAGGAGTAGCCACCTGCTACTGGTGATGGGATTAAAAGGATAATGGCAGAGAACAGACTAATGGTCTTATACTGTGGACAAATTGAGGACCTTAGGGAAACCACAAGAAGTCTGACTAGAGTTGGTTGCAGAGGGAGTTATCTAGTTACCAATTTACTGGAATACTGAGAATAGATGAACCTGTTTCAATAAGAACAAAGGATCCAGACAGCCCAGTTCCTCCACTACATAAGGTACAAGGAAGGATAAGAAATGACGGAAGAGCCTATATATTTCAAAAAAATCCTAAGTCAGCAAGATGGCTTAGCAGATAAAGATTTATGCCTCGCGCCACATGATAGCATACTTCTCTAACCCCATCACTTGGGGAGAGACAGAGGCAGGCAGAACTCTATGAGTTCAAGGACAGCCTGGTCTACAGAGCAAGTTTGAGGACAGCCAGAGCTATTATACAAAGAAACCCTGTCTCGAAAAAGCAAAAAAGAAGAAAAATTAATGCCTCACAAGCCGGATGACCTAAGTTCAACCCCAGAACCCATGAACACATGGTACAAGGAGAGACTCAAGTCCTGAAAACTGTCATCTAACCACGTATGACTCTAAATTTTAATTTGAAAAAAAAAATGGAGGAAAAGAACCAATTGAAAAATCTGAACATCCTGATGGAGGCAATGAAGCTGGGTAATGTGGGGCTTGTAGTACTGTAAAATGAGTCCTTACATTTTAGAGTGAATACTGAAATATTTATGAATAAAATGATGATAATGATGATTAAAGACAGGGTCTCACTTTGTAGCCCTGGCTGGCCTAGAACTCATTATGTAGACCAGACTGATTTCAAACTCACAGAGATCTGCCTGCCTCTGCCCCATAGGGTCTGGGATTAAATGCACTCACCATGATGGCTGGTATGAATAAAATTACTGATGCCTAGGACTAGCTTCAAAATAAAACAAGAGTTGGGAAATGAATAGGAAAAACAAGATCAGTCAAGAGTCTGATTGTTGAAGCTCATGATGGGCACTCAGGGGTTCATTACAATATCTTATCTGTTTTGGTATTTGAAGATCCTGTAATAAAAAGGTATGGGATATAACAAATATAGACAATTCTTTCAAGGCATTTTTCTGTACTGATGGTGAGAATGAGAATGAGGTAGATGGAAGTGTGGGGTCCAAATAGGAGCACAGTGTACACATGATGGTGAGGATGATGTAGGAGAGAGGAGACAGCTGATGATGCAGAGGAAAGGGTAAGGGTGCACAAAGAGTCACAGAGGCAGATGGATAGAGAACCCATATGGACCAAGATGGCAGACCAAAGAATGAACTTCTATACTCCTATTTATGAAAGCCCCTTTTATGTTTGTTTGCATGTAAGAGGATAATTTGTGGGAGTCAATTCTCTCCTTCTACTGTCTAGATCCCCTAGATCAAACTTAAATCATCAGGCTTGGCTGCAAGGACCTTTACCAAGCCATTGCTAGCCCTGTTTTGCTTTGTTTTCTAATTTATTTATTTTTAAGTGTGTGTGTGTGTGTGTGTGTGTGTGTGTGTGTGTGTGTGTGCTGTAAATGAATGCTGGTAACTGTGAAGGACTTTGGATCCCCACTAGATCACCAGGAACTGGAGTTATAGACAGTTGTGAGCCATTTGATGTGGGTGCTGAGAATTGAATCCAGGTCCTCTGAAAGAACAGCCAGTGCTCTTAACTATTGGGCCATTTCTCTAGACTTGTTTTTGTTTTATTGAGACAGGGTCTGGCTCTATAGTCCTGGGCTGGCCTAAACTCAATGTAGCTCAATCTGCTCTCAAATACATAGCATTCTACTGCCTCAGTTCCTCTAGTGTTTAGATTCCAGGTGTAGCCACCATACAGACAACAGGGCCATTAACTTGAGAATGCAGTGTTGGTGAACCAGGAGGAGGGTGGAAATGGAAATAGAACAGAATTCTAAATTTTAGAAGGACCTACCTGAAATCAATGACCTTAACTCAAAAATTATCCTCAGCAGCATTCTAGTTCAGACAAGCACTTACATTGTCAAGTGAGTAAAACCAAGCAGTAAGAACCAACTTCAACAGGGAAGCTGGAGCAGTATCAAAGCCTATAAAGTAAGCACATGGGGTTGTTGTGGGGAATGGGACCAGCTCTGCTGGGGCACAGCACTCAGTATCAAGTGAAGGGCATAGGACAGGCTTCACAAAGCCATTGAGACAAAATAGAGCCAGTGAAATCTGCAACACTTGACACGTTGAAATCAAGGGTTTGTTTACCTGTGTAGGTCCTCACCTCTAGCCCTGCCCCAGCCCACATACCTTGGGGGCCTCTCCCTTGCTGCCAGGGGGCAGCCGTAGGACCCAGAAGTTCCTGTTGCGAAGCAGGTTCTCCAGGTTCTCCAGCCGCCGCTGCAACAACCCATATTCCTGCAGCAGGGTCCCCAGCACGGCCCACTTGCTCTCCATGTGGTTACCAAATTCCACCGCTGTCTTCTCACAGTCAGCTAGCTTCTTCTCTGCTGTGCCCGTGCGTCCCTCCAGGTTCAGCAGCTGGCTAGCCTGGGCATCCACCTTCCTTTCTACCGCCTGAATGGCAGCCACCACGGTCCAGAGTGAGATCTCTGCTGTGGGCAACTGGGGTTCACGCATCATGCGGTCAGGAAAGACAGGGGCCCTATCTGGGAAGGGCGGGAACTGAAAAGGCATTGGTCGCCTGGCATCCATGTCCCATTCTTGAGCCTGTGTACAGGGGAAGAAAGTGATAGCCCAGGATAAGAACATATGTGAGAGAGAAGGCCTAAAATGAGATAACTAATCAAATGCTATGGAGTATCTTTCTTCTACCCAGCCTCTAGCTCTGGCTGTGCTCATGAATGACATCAGTAATAGCTAGAGCAGCTACCCATCCAACTCACCACTCTTCCCTTTCCTTCTCATGAGAGCCAGGCTCGTTACTAGTTCATCTACCTTGGCTCCTGTCAAGTCTAGATCATGGCCCCCTGCCTAACCTGTCATGGACCCTTTCTCTGAATAGAACAGCTGCTTTCTTCATGGGCTATCTTGAATGACAAACTTCCCATTTGGCTCTCATTCTTTGTTTCAAGGTAGGAATTTCCATGTAACTTGTCTGAAGTTAATCTTCTGCACAATCTCTCTTGCAGGTTGGGGCAAGAATGGTTATCTTTGCTTCACAGATAACGAACAAAGAAGCAGGCGGCCATTCTTCAGCACCCCCACCCCACTGCCAACTGGCAGGGTTCTAGGTGCCACAGGTAACAAAGTCATTTGGCAAGCATGCAGCCACTGCCATTCCTACTAGGCCTCTCAGCCAGAGGCGACGAGGACCTAGGCCAGATGGCATGCCAGGAGTTGTTAAACTCCACACACAGCTACTTTATCATAACTATGCAAAATGAAAATAGGTTTGCTATAATTTATTAGACAAGAAGGAGGGACATTCTTCACCCCCATGAGGACTACAAGGAAAAGCTCTATACTCTCTATATACTTCCTCCTCTACTTCCTGATGAGGGGTTCCCCATGGCCCAGAGTCTCCTTCCTTATTTTCCAGGAGGTACAGGTAGGAGCTGGGAGCCCTAAGGCAGAGAAAGGACAGTGGAAGGTAGTAAGGGGGTGCTGGATGACAACACAGGTTGACAACTGACTCTTGGTCCCACACGGGACAAGAAATATCTTTCTTTCTGTTCTCCCTGCTTCTGCTGTTGGGGAATGTGGAACCCTACAGCTGTGAGGTGAGCTGGACAGGCCTTTGACAATCATACAAACTATTTTTCTCAACTTCAAAGCAGACAGACGAGGGCCACCGCACAGTGTCTAAAAATTTCCCTTTGACATGTGAGAGAGGACAACAGGGTCATGGTGGCTGGATGGCCATCAGGGCCACCCATGGGATGGGACTTATGGAGGCTTCCCTGGGGCCTTGTCCAGGGAAGGGAGTAAGAGTGGTAATGGGAGTTTAGGAAGCCTGGGGTTGCTGCATTTCACCAGGTTTCCCTCAAAAAACAACACAGCGACTCTAGATGGACTTGTCAAGTCCTAAGTCCTGCTTGAAAATCAGTTGGGACCATGGGAGCCTTTCTGCGGGGTCCAGTCTAGGGCAACTAAAGCCTCCCCTCTGAGACAGTGATCTGCTACCACTCTGAACCCTCTTCACCTCGTGTTTTAGTTTTATACCCACGGCCAAGCTGGCTAAGTCCTAGGCACCCCGAGATCACTTACGGAGCCTAAAGAAACAACTGGAGCCTTCTCTCTCACCCCCAAAACCACGCTCAAGGATGCGGTTTGGGCGTAGTCAGTTGTCTTAAGCTGCTCAGACGATTCCAATATGCAGCCAAGTTTGTTAACCCAAGACGACAAAGTCCCTTCACAGACCCTTTCCTGGCTCACCCCTTGTACAGAAGAAAAGTGCACGGCTGTCTATACTCGGAGGAAGACAATAATACAACAGCTTTAAGCCCTTTTATTAAACTGACTAGTGGATGGTCTGTTTCCTCTATGGGCCGGGAAAAGGCCTGCTGCAAACCCAGGATTCCAAGAGGAACCTCGGTCCCCGCTCAGTGAAGCGGCCACGGCCGGGCAGGTCCGGGGCAGCACGGCCCTGATCCCTGCATCCCGTGGGGCCTGGGCCCGGGCAGCACCGGCCCAGACAGCTGCACGGTGGCGGCGCAGAAGGCCCTGGCACTCGGGGCCTGCGCCGGGCCCGCTCCGAGGGCCGCCCAGGACCGCGGCAGCCGCGCAGCTCCCCGAGGCCCGGCCCCGCCCCGCCCCCACGGCAGCGGCGCGGCCATGGCGCCCGCGGGCGCTGCACCCACCTGCATGGGCGGCATTCCCTCGGCCATTTCCGCGCGCAGCGCCGGCTCCTGATGGCAGACCTCCTCCGGGGGCAGAGCCTGGGCCCAGCTCCAGCTCCCGCTGTCCAGCCCGAGGCCCTGGATGCCCAGCTGCTGAGGCTGCGGCCGTGTTGACACAAACTGCATCCTGGGAGTGCTGTTCCCCGCTCCGGCCGGCCAGGGAGAAGAAGAACGTTTTCCAGGCGCCTTCCCCCTTGCCGGGGCCGGACAGCTCCATCTACAGCCCGTAGGAGCAAACAGTCCCCTTTGGTGGCGCTCCCCGCCCTTCGCAGCCGGCGTGCCAGCCAATGGCTGGCAGGGCCACTTCAGGCTGGGGGCCACCACCGCCCTCAAAGAAGAGATGTGGCAGCGAACTGGCCTTTCGGTCTGGGGTGGTCAGCCTTCATGTTCCAAGCCATGCTGGGGCTTAATTTCTATTACATCTACGAATGCATTGGCCATCCCAGGAGAAAATGGTCCCTCATCCTTGTGAAAATTTCACTGAAATACTTACTGAACACCTACTATGCGTCAGATTCTGCTTAGGCAGAGGGTGATTTTTGTAGTTGCATATTCTTGGGTTTAAACTGCAACATCACGACTGGCTGTGATTTTTTTTTAACATGTATATAAACAAAGGTGGTGGAGTCCATTAATCTTACTTTAATGTTGAAAACGTAGGGACTAATGCCTGGCACATAATAGGTTCTCAGTTACCCCGATCCTTTTGCTAGGCGTGGTGACATACACTTTTAATCCCAGCACATGAGAGATAGAGACAGACAGGTGGATCTCTGAGTTTATGGCCAGCCTGTTCTCCAGAGTTAGTTCCAGGACAATCTTTAAAAAAAAAAAAAAAAAAAAAAAAAAAAAAGGTAATGACCCCCCCCCAAAAAAAGATAAATCCCTGTACTTATTTTATTTATCTACAGCATCCTGTCCACTTTGTCTTCCTAAATGACCAGTCCTTATCATGCCTGGGGCAGAGCTCTACAACACTTACCACCTTATGGAAAGTCAGACCTGATGGAAACCACGAGTTTTAGTACACTTAAAACTAAGAACAGTATGAGGCTGTGGGCAGGCCTGGGGTGCCAGAAGGGCTATCTTCAGAAGGACAGTCATCAAGTCCTTTGTTAGGCATGCTTCCAGAATATAGAAATGAGTTTTTCATAGGCTTATTCTCAAGAAACTTAGGGGCTAGTGAAGGTTATGTATGCTTCCAGAAGTCAGTGATTTCTTTCCCTGTTTCCTGGATACAGGTTGTGCAAACACGCAAGTGCACATATCTCATTGTAAATATCATGTCCACTATTATTAGAGGAACGAGCCTGGACAGAGAAATATGTTTCTAACAACAACCGCATCTTAGAAGACATATTCTGACCTATGGGATGACAACTCTATTTCCTCTTTCCCAGAGATGGGAAATGGAGCACTAGGACAGTCCCAGGTGTTTGAACTATCTCCTCAGGACAAAATTAATGTGATTTCCTGTCTTAAATGTGTAGTGAGTCATTGCAATGTCCCTTTTTATACAGCAAGATACCACCATCTAATTTAGTTTCCTCTTTGCAGATGGACATTGACACAGCCATTCACACCTTTACCTTGTGTCAGAGCTTAGGCTAGAGGTTCAGCTCACATTTTTATATGAACAAAATACACAAACAGGTTCAATTTTACATTTTTTCAACATATCTGCACTATTTACAGCCATCAAGCCTACCAACTACAGGGCACACAGTCCTATAACCAGTGCAAGCTGAAGGGTGTGGGGTAACTAAGGAGCACTTCTGGAAGAAAAATGAGGTAGGGCCTGATGTGGGATTCTATGATAGGTGTTCCAATGACAAGGGCTGAGACATCTATCCCAGGCTGCAAGACAGCCTGCACTGGGAGTGTCTAGTCATTTGTTAGAACAATCTCCAACAATCACTGGTTAACTATGAGCTTCCTGAGAAGGGAAATAGGCAACTGGTTAAAATATCATAGTTAAAGTACACTTTTTGCAAGAGATAGACTTAGGCCTTGCCCTTGGTCTGTCAGGTGGACATTGACTGTTTCCATCTTCTCTCCAAGAATTCTATAGCTACTGCTCTGGACAAAGGACAAGAGAAGGGACTCAAAAATTTTAGAACATTTATCTACCATTTCCTAAAGTTCTCCACGCTTCCAATGTTATATATAAGTGGGGGGTATGCTAGACTATTTTAATGTTGAAAAATTATAAACTAATGTCTGGCACATGGTAGGCACTCAGCAAAGGGAGTTACTTCACCTCTTTGCCAATATGGCAGTACACGCCTTTAATTCCAGCACTCTGGAGGCAGACAGGTGGAATTTTAATTGATACAGGAAATTATCAGGCTTAAATAAAGAGGAAAATAGACTTCTATCTACTAAATTAGGCTCCATCCCTAGTTTAACCAGCAGGCTTTCCACGTGTGACATTGAACATCTATTATCTCAGCACTCTGGAAGCTGAGGAAGGAAGATCAAGAGTTCAAGGCCAGCCTGGTCTGCCCTTGAGCCTCTCAAAACGACAACAAAACCAACTAACCAAATAAAGTAACAATCCAAAAAATGCTATGGACTGCCAAAATGGCTATTGGGGTTAGGAAACAAGGGAAGCCTCAGATTCAAGCTTCCTCCATCCTATGGGCATGAGCATGGCTATAGACCTACCTCTGGAATAAAATTATGGCTTTCCACTATGGAGTCAAAGATCCTTTATTATTCTCCAATCCCCACTCTCTGCTCTAGGAAAGCAGGTCAATTTAGGCTATTTCCAGTTCAAGAACTAACTTTCTCATTCGAGATCTTCTAATTCTAATAGGCACTCTGCAAGCACTTGAAGAAACTTGAAAAAATAAATTCCATTCTCTGTCACAGAGCAATGAAGTTATGTCAGAGTGGGTCATGGCTTTTAAGTACTTCCTAAGCCCCCAGGTCATTCTCATGTTCAGCCAAGAACAAACTAGTTCAATAGTTATTTGGACATCTTCTTGCCCTTACCCCACAAGGTCATATGAGAAAATGAAAATCCTGAATCCTACTGGCTAATAGGTATGGTTTAATTATTCTTGGTACCTGTATCCTGTTTATTTGTTGAGGTTGTCTAGTAGATACTGCATTTCTTATGCTATTTTTATTTTTTAATTATGAACTAGAAGCCAAGAACTGATTGGCATATATTATTAGTTCATGTACATTCTTAATTTTGAATTCTGCTTGATTTGGTTAAAAACAAACAAACAAACAAAAAAAAAAACCCCAAGTCTCCAGGAATGAGGCTGCTACCTTCCTGACCTGCTATTCTCCATATATTTATTTATATTTATGAATATTATATATGAGGTATATAATGGTAGTAAAAGCCTATAATCTCAGCCCTTGGGAGGTGAAGATTAAGATCAGGAGCTCAAGGTCATCCTTAATTATATATCAAGTTAAAGACCATGCTGGGCTACATGAGACTATGTCTTTTAAAAGAAGTTGTCTTGCCGGGCAGTGGTGGCATACACCTTTAATCCTAGCACTCTGGAGGCAGAGGCAGGTGGTCTCTGAGTTCAAGGCCAGCTCTGGTCTACAGAACGGGTGCCAGGACATTCAGAAAAAAAAAAAAAGTTTCTTTCAAAAGTCAAAATCCTGGAGCTATTGTTACAGGTAGTTATGAGCACCCAACATGGATGCTTGGAACCAAACTTTGGCCCTCTGCAAGACCAACAAGTGCTCTTAACTCCTAAACTCCAGCCCATATTTTTTTTTTTTAGGACAAATTCAATTATTAATACTGTTTTGGTAATAAGCACAAACCCACATAGTTCAGTGTGGTTTTATAAAGCCTTTTATTTGGAAGTAACTTGACTGATTTGAGAACTTTGGAATCACTGTTTTTGAGGCTGTTCTGATGAGATTGTATTTTTCTGCCTTCCGTGGTGGCCTTAGGCATGAAAGGGAGGGACATTTAATTGACCAACTTGGCCAAGGCCATCATATGTCTATGACTGTGATCAATTCTATAAGAAGAAAAAGAGGCTGGGGATGTAACTCAGCTGGCAGAGTGCTTGCTAACATGCACAGCTCTCTGGGTTTGATCCTTAGCACTACATAAAACCAAGGAGAGGTAGGAGGATCAGAAGTTCAAAGACATCTAGGCAAATCAAGTTTGCAGCCAGCTTGAGATACATGAAACCCTGTCTCAAAAATGCAAATAGCAAAAGGAGAAAGTGTGGGGTGGGTGAACTGAGGAGTCAGGCATAGTGACACTCATCTGTAATCCCTTCACTAGGGAAGCCGAGACAAAATTGTGAATTTGAGGCCAATTGGGCTACACAGTGAGACTTGGTCCTCAATACAGGAGCAGGGTCAGAAAAGAATAATATTTCTCCCTCCATTGACTTCAAGTGGCAAATGACTCCTTTTACAGGACAAACAGAACCTTCCAAGTATTTTGAGCAAGGACAGCGTCAGTCTTATGATAGTATTTGTGAAATAGAAATGTTTGAAGAAACCTCAAAAAGCATTACACAGAGATTGTGTTCCAGCTGGCAGCACTAAACTGCTGTTTATTCCCAGTCCTGGGTATATTTATGAGGTTCACAGATCCTGATTCAGGGGCCAGAGGAGTTTTACTGCTGACTGTCGCTGACTGACTTAGGATGAGCATGGAAAGAGCACCTGGGGCAGATTCCCAATTATAGAGTCTAAACTAGAAAAACAGAGAAATGTAAAAAAAATATTTTTAATCCCCCACTTTTTTGATACACTTTCTCTGTGAAGCCTTGGCTGTCCTGGAACTAGCTCTATAGGCCAGGCTAGCCTCAAACTCACAGAGATCCACTTGGCTCTGCTACCAGAGTGCTGGAATTAAAGATGTGCACCACTACCCCCCCCCAAAAAAAAACCCCTCAAAAACAGATGATCCAAGTTCAATTCCCAATACACAGAGTGGCTTGCAATCATTCATAACTCCAATTCTATTGAATCTGACACGCTCTTCTGACTTCTCTAGGCACAAGACATGCACGTGATGCACATACATATATGCAGGCAAAATATTGATATATAAAATAAAATCTCAAAAATAAAAGTCTTTAAAGAGGAGTAGGAGGAAAAAGAAGAAATATCAAGAGAGAATCAAAGCTATATGGGATTGTGGTATCAGAAACATGTGGGCTGGCAAGTGTAGAACATAATCAGTAAGAGATCATACAAAATGTATGAAAAAGATGGTAGCAAAAAGTTGAACCAGCTAGGAGCCATGTACTTCTATGGAACAGTCAGCAGTCTTTTTTTTTTTTTGACAAAAGATGCTTATTTTTATGTGTATGAGTGTTTGACCTATACACACACACACACACACACACACACACACTATATATATATATATATATATATATATATATGTGCCACACGCATGTCTGGTGTCTGCAGAAGGAAGGCATCAGATCCCTTGAAACTGGAGTTAAAATTGTAAGCTACCATTTGGGTGCTGGGAGCTGAACACAAATCCTCTGAAAAAGCAGCAAGTACTCTTAACACAGAGCCATCTCTCTGGCTCCTCCTTGTCCCCTTCCTCCTTTTAAAAACAGGGTTTTCTTATGTAGCCTAGGCTGGCCTTGAATTCTCAGCAATCTTCCTGTCCCAGCTTCCCAAGTGCTGGGATAGCAGGTGCAAGCCATCACACCTGGCCAACCTTGGTTACTATCATTTGGTACTTCCAATTCAGCCTGGTTTGTGATTACCTTTCAGGCTGGTTCTGTAAAATGTTGTGTTGTGGGTTCTTAAGTGAGACACAAGAAGCATTACCACTACCTTCTAAAGAAACAAAGTCTTCAGAAGGTAAAATAATGTTCTGTCACTTAAGACTTGAATCTAAGTCTGATATCAGAAGCTCTGGCTCTTAGCCATTAATACTGTACTAATAATGATGAACATTAAGTCCCTATACCCTCCTTATCCCCACTCCAAATCAATCTGACCTGTGTGTGTGTGTGTGTGTGTGTGTGTGTGTACACCAGAGGACTTTGAGAGCCAATGCTCAGGGGCCTCTGACTTTGACAGGGTCTTACTGACCTGAGGCTTATCTTAGGCTAGGCTGACAGGCCAGCAAGAGCCTCCCCAGTGCTGGGATCCAAGCCCAAGGCATTGATCCTGGCCTTTTCACCAGTTCTAGGGATTAGATTCAGGTATTAATGCTTGTATAGCAAACACTTTACTGAGATATCACTTCAGTCAGTCTCTAGTTTGAACTTCTAATTATCTTATTTATAGAAACCTGGAACTTGCCAAAAGATTAGCCCATTATATAACTCCCATATGATAAGACTGGCCCATTGCTACAGTGAACCAGAGTGAAATGAGCAGTCAAAAATATCCATCTAATGGCACATGCCTGTAATCCCACCACTTGGAAGGCAGAGGCAGGAGAATCTCTTAGTTCAAGGCATGCCTTGCCACTACAAAGGCCAGCTTGATCTATAGAGCAAGTTCCAGGACAGCCAAGGCTACATAGAGAAACCCTGCCTCAAAAAAAAAAAAAAAAAAAAAGTGTGTCTAAGAATATATAAATGTGTGTGTGTGTTTATCCACATAGATATGTATATGTATATAACAATACCAGGTCCTCATCTGAAAAGGCCTCATTGCTACTCAGGCAACTGAAGAGGCTGCTTTTTGTTGTCTAAGGAACTGAGGCTTAATAAGATGGGAAGAATGTCTTGTCTCCCTCAAGAAATATGACCATCTTGGGATTTCCAACCCATTGAAATGAAAGGAACTTAGGTACCTTTTTTTCAGTGATATTTTTGGAGACTGAGATAGTATTTGTTATTGTCTCATAAGCCATGGGAACTAGCTGAGATAGATATGGATGTCATTTCAGGAGAAGCCTATGGGCGCCCCTACCAGAAACTTTGTAGAGTTTATTAATGAAGGAAGTGATGTAGAACATGGCTCTCTCTGGAGTTCATGACTAAGGTGTTTTCATTATCAAATGCCCTACAGGAATGGATCAATCATCTTTCACTTTCTAAACAGGTAACCAACTTATATTTATTTTCATATTTGTGGCTGAACCAGAGGCTCATCCAATGTTGACAATAAAAACTCTAGCAAGTAAAGAGTAAATCTAGTTAGAGCCAACTCCTGGATGCATTCTGAGAAAGTTTTTGGGCCATCAAGCAGGGGACAGGCAAATCAGTAGAACACTTCTGGGGTTTCCTTTTCCTTGCAGTGACTGGTCATGAGCACCAGGCTCCAGGTGCCTCTTTAGTTGCAGGGTTAAATGTATAGTTTCTTTCAAGACACTGGGTAGACAAAGAGATTCTACTTGCTGAAAACTTCTGTTGAACTTTATATTTTCCAATGAGCCACTTTTGAATCTTTGACAAATAGGTTATACTTGTAGGAGATTGGTGAATGGAAAGAATTGACTATACAACAGCTGAAGTCCCTATTTTGAACCAGACTAAGGATTCCACATGCTTCCAAGTTTTTGGGATGGCCCTGCACATTCCCTTTTTTTTTTTTTTTTTTTTTTTTTGGTTTTATGGCTCTTGTTTGGTTGGCATTTGAGCTATATTCTTTTTTTTTTTTTTTTTGGCCTGTTCAGATCCTTCCTGGCTATGGCTCCTAACAGACAGGCCCTGGGATCTGTTGGTATCATTCTGGTATACAGGCCTCACATTAACATTTGTGTTCTTGGTAAATCTGTTGAGTTCAGATGAACTTTACATGTTATCTAGCTCCACACCACAGCTTCAGTAGGTATCTCTTCTTCAGCTCACCCTGAGGATAATGCTTTGATTCCTTCTTTTTCAGGTGCAAATATCACATTCAAGTCACTAGTGGGCCATTAATGAAGCTGGAACCTGATTTTGGAATTTCAGAATTTCCAAGTTTTCCTGTGGGATGGCCCAGGTCCTGGCTAAGCTCTTTATCCCAACAGACCACAGTTCTTCCATCATCTGTCTTGTCTGTCCCTGTGGGAGTTTCCCTGCCAACAAGTTTAAAGTTAGACTTGGTCTCACACGCACTTCTTATGTCTCCTGGAATCCTTGGTATTATTGTCACAAAACAGTGATTTATATACATGATTATCCTGAAGAGCAGCATGTTCAGGCAGAACTTTGACAGGAGAACAGTAACTAGGCAAACACCATCTCCTACCATGGTTACACTAACTATGAAAATTGAAGGTTGAGCCTAGTAATAAGGAGAAAGTATTTTCTTCCTTATCTAGAAAATGTCATGTATAAACAGTTATAGGTCACATTCTAGACATCATAGAAGGCTCTGGGAGAATGAAGGGATGTAGGAATAAACAGCTTCCTGTCCCAAATATAGGACTTCTACATTCTCTGTATTCTACTTTAGGGCCCACTAAGAGCAGAACAACAAGACAAGCTGATTTCCACCAAGTTTCCACATGAGTTTCTCTGCTTTGGTTTTTCTGACTCATTTGGCTTTGTCTGGACAGAAGACAAAGGAAGAACAGGATTTTGGCAGAAAAGAACTGTATCACAAGATTCTTTTAAAAAGGTTCTAGGGGCTTACTTTCTTTTAACAACTTCATTCTGGTGGTAAAAATATGAAAGCTGAAAAAGGAAGAGGACACACCAGTTTGCATGAACACTTAGGACACTTAGAATAGGTTCAGATGCTTTCAGATGACTAAGTGAGCCCAAGAAAAGAACGCATGGTAGCCATGACCCCTCAAAGTACAACAGGTGGCTGAGTATGATAGTGCTTGTTTTTAATCCTAGCACTCTGGATGCAGAGTGAGTGCAGAGTGAGGCAGATCAGAGTTCCAGGCCAGCCAGGGCTACATAGTGAAGCCCTGCCTAAAAACAGCACAACGGGTAAGGTAAGGCAGATATGACATTTAGTTCTCAGTGACTGAGGAGGGGTCTCACTCTGTGGGGTAAAGTGAGAGCAGGGAGGTGGGAGCAGGCAGAAGAGATGCAAATCCTTTCCTCAAGAGCATCACATTACAACACTGCTATGACACTACTGAGGGAACAAAAGCCCTGAGCTCAGTGGCACTTCCTGAAGTGCTGGATGCCTTGGCAAAGCACTGTGAGGATTGTAAAGAAAACCAGGTTGGGCATGATGGTATACCCAGAACATGAGGCAGAGGCAGGCAGATCCCACAGAGTTCAAGGTCAGCCTGGTCTATGAAGCAAGTTCTAGGCGAGGATATACAGTGAGACTCTGGAGAAAGAAAGAGAGAGAGAGAGAGAGAGAGAGAGAGAGAGAGAGAGAGAGAGAGAATGTCAAACATCAGAAATTGAAAAACAAGATCACCGGCTTAGAAAAGAGAAGGGATAAATTGATATAAATGCCTCTACACTCAAGATTCAGGCAGACTTTTAGGCTATGATATCAATGTTGTATCTGGGATCTCTGGGATCTTTAGCTCCTAAACTCTTCCTAATTTTTTAACTAGGACTGTGGTAAAGTTCTCTACCCTTTTAAAAGCTGCTACAAGAGTCTGAATGTTTCAAATCAAGCTAGTGAAAACTAAGAACTGTCCCTTTAAATAAACTATCAAAGTCGGATTTTTTTTTTTTTTTTTTTTGTTCACCAACATTAAACAAAATGTATTAGCAGACAGAATCTAGGCTTAGGAAGGCAGCCTCAATCATCATGTTTCAGGGAAAGGTGACTACATAGGTATGAACAGAACTTAGCTGGTTTTAGAGACACAGCAACATAACAAGCAGCTAAAGCACATTCCCCCAATAGTCATCTCATCACTGAGGAATTAAAGAAAGGCTTGGGGCATTCTCATGCCTCCAGATGGCTTTGAGGTTTGGAGGTTCTTTCCATGCATCTCTCTCTACCTAGAGGCAATTCTTACTCTGCTATCCTGACAGAATGATCAGAAGCCAAATCTCAATTCCCAAACCCTGCTTTTGTGGTATCTGAAAAGACATGAATGTTGGATTCTCTTCCACTTTTCAAAATATGGTATTCTTGGGCTCTTGTGGACTTCCAAAGCACAAGCATGTCTCTAGTTGAGTGCAGACTCCCAAATTCCTTTATGTACCAGATAATAATTACTGTGGGTTGTGGAGCTTGTAGGCTTTCTCCTCGACCTTCTGCTCTGCTGTGAACATAAATAACCAATGAGCCACAGGTCTACAAAACCACTCCTCCATTCCCTTCCCCATACCACTGACTAGATTCTAGACCTTCAGTGCTAACACCTAGGCCAGAGGGTTCCAGTGCAGTTAAGAGTGGACCAGGTGGGTCTGGTGGCTGTGTGGAAGGGTCCCTATCACCAGCACAGCCTCCACTGTGACCGGTCCGCAGATGGTCCTTGAGCGTCTGCTTGTAGCGGAAGCTCCTTCCACACAATGTGCAGGGATAGGGCCGCTCGCCTGTGTGGATGCGCTGGTGCTTTATGAGGTGGTGTTTGCGGATGAAGCTCTTGCCACATTGTGGACACTGGAAAGGCCGCTCACCTGTGTGCAGCCTCCGGTGGTTTAACAAGTGTTCTTTACGCATGAAGCTCTTGCTACAATCTGTGCATGGGTAGGGACGCTCGCCTGTGTGGATCATCTGGTGACGAATCAGTGCAGAGTGGCCATTGAAGTCAATGCCACACTGAGGACAGGAGAAGGGGCGCTCCTGTGCATGTCCTCTCTGGTGCAGCAGGAGACTGATCTTCAGGCTAAAGCTACGACCACATTGTGGGCAACGGAAGGGCCTCTCGGTAGCATGAGCTCGCCGATGGCTGGTGAGTCGAGCCTGGTCAGCGAAGCGCTTAGGACAATCAGGACAGGGGAAAGGGCGCTCAGTGCTGTTGTGGACCCGAAGGTGGTATGTGAGTCTTGAGGGGTGAGTGAAGGTCCGGGCACAGTGAGGACAGGTGGGTGGTGTTTCACTGGCATGGTCCTGGGAGGTGCTACCGAGATCTATCTGTGGGGCAAAGTGCTTGGGACACTGGGCACAGGTTAAGGGGTGTTCAGCATCGTGGCTACATTGATGTGTCATTAACATATCTTGGTTGAGACTCTTGCCACAATGGTGGCATGAGAATATCTGCTCTCCAACTGGAGGTGGGAGTGGGTAGCTTCCTAACTGAGTAAAGGTCACTTGTCCTTCTGAGGCTTCAGGCAGGTCAGTGGCTGTACATCCAAAAGGTGTCATGGGTGCACACTGCTGGCTTTTGAAAGCTACATCGGAAAATGTATCCTTGGCTGCTTGTGGTGGGGGTGCAGAAAAGGTGACTGGAACTTCAGGGCACAGGGAGGCTCTAGCAAGGTCTTCAGCTTTGATGACAAGTTCTTCATCTGAAAGAAGGGACTCAGAGTTATCTCAGAGTACCTTTCACATTCCAACCAGTTCTAGCAGGTTGCTGTAGGAGCTAACTGCTCAGATAAGCTCAGGGAAGGGCTCTCATTACTAATAAGGCCCCTGTAGACTCTACGTTGATGCTCCATTTTGAAAAGGAATAACTTTAGCATCAATCTTCCCTATAGTATTTTCTTTACGTTTTACTTCTACTCAATACTTTCTCCATTGCCTGGTGTGACTGGGCCTAAAATTATTTTTTTACTTCTATATTCTATGAGATAAACCCTTCCTTGAAGTCTGCCGACTCTGTCTTCCTGGAAATGCAAGCACTTTCCACCTTTGTATCTTTGGTCCTTCTGTTTCCCCTTTTCCAGGATGCTTCCCATCTCTTTCCCTGTCTTCCCAAATCATAGTCAATCTTTTAGGCCCATTCTGACCTCACACTCTTTACTAGGGATGGGACTTGCGCTGGGGTAGTGGGGGCCTCAGACAGGGTTTCCTGTAAGTCAGGCTAGCCTCAAACTTGAGTATATTCCTTGAACTCCTCAAATGCTAGGATTACAGGTTGGCTTTACACACCCTTGGTTATGCATTATCCAAATACCTAAACTAAAACTGACATGACACATTTTCCAAATCTCAACTGTCTTTAAGTCATACATCCAACTCACTGCTGCACACCTAACAACAGACATGCCTAGATTTGTATGTATGTCTGTGGTATAAATTTTCTACAGAGCAGAAACCATCATATTCCTCAGATGTACTTCCCAGAGTCAAAATAAACATTGGGCACAAACATATCAAAAAGCAAAAAACAAACAAACAAACAAAAAAAAAAAAAAACCAAAAACTAAATTCAAAAAACAAAACAACAGATTCTATTCTATTATGCTATATAAAGATGGAGACCTTTCTGATCTTCAGATTCTCTTTATAAATTACATTGTTCATCTTATGGGAGAGGGACATGTACATGCCATTCTGCACGTGTGGAGGTCAGAGGACCACTTGTAGAAGTTGGTTCTCTCCTTCCACCATATGAGTCTGGGGAAATCAAACTTAGATGGTCAGGCTTGGTAACAGGTGCCGTTACCCACTAAAACCATCTCATTGACCAAGATTCTCTTTTATATTTCAAGAAGTAAATCACAGTTGGCACTAAATCTCATTATAGAAGAAAGCATTTGTTTCTTTGTCTATCATTATTTTTCCTTTTACTGAGGAAAAATATTTCCATTTGCACTCCTCCAACACTTTTGCCTATTTCTCTCTACCCCACTCCCCATTTCTGCTCTATTATATTTTGATCGATTGATCTATTTGACTGATTGACAGAGATAAAGTCTTGTTGTATAATCCTGACTGGCCTAGAACTCACTGGTTCTAGGTACTTCTAGACCAGGCAATTGTCCTGCTTCTGCCTCCTGAATGGTGGGATTAGTAGCCACCACAGCTGACTCTGTTCTTTCTAAGTGATTTTTCAAATGCTTTGTTTTTTCTAATTCCCATATTTTTTAATCACTTATATACAGTTATTATTCTTCCTTTAACAATCCCGTTTCTCTTTTTTAAATATAGTGCTAAAGATTAAACCTAGGGCTTTGTGAGAGTATATTTTTATTATTGATATACCCAGCCCTAACACTTGTAATTCACATTTAAGAGTATGTTTTCTGGGACGGTAAAATGGCTCAGTAGGTAAATGCATTTGCCATCAAGCTTGACAGCTCATGTTCAATCCCTGGTACCCACATGTCCTTGGATTTCTGCATGTACCTCCCCACACACTAATAATTAATGTTTTTTAAAATGTGTTTTCCTACTGAAAATTTATCTTGGTGGCCTTTTGGTTTCATTTCTAACTTGGCTGACCATTATCTTTCCTTTCTTTCTCCATGTTCCTTGTCTTTCTAGCACCTTTTCAGATGTATTCTTCAGTCACTCCTAGTGTGAGCTGAATCTGAACATCTCTGTTTCCTCTGTTACTCACCAGCATAGGAGCCCTTATATAGGTCATTCTCTTTGGACTCCTGGGGGACTCCAACCTGAGACTCTTCCTCTTGTTTAATCCAAGACAGAATATCTGAGGTTGAAAGGCCAGGATCTACTCGTGGAGAAAAACAGAGAATGATTTTCAGGGACTTGAATCAGAAGGTGAAATTGTGCTGGAGAGTTGGCTCAGTAGTTACGGCACTTATTGCACTTGCGGAGAACCTGGATTTATTTCCAGCATGTAACCATTTGTAATTGTAGTTTAAGGGGATCCAGTGACCTCTTATGACCTTTTTGGGCATGTAGTATACATACACACATGCAGGCAAAATAATTATATATATATATATATATATATATGTATATATGTATATATATATATATATATGATAATAAATACATCTGTTAAAAAGGTAACATAATCATGTTCATTTGTTAAACAAGACATTATTAATTTCTGTTTGTTTGGTTTTGTTTTTTTGAGACAGGGTTTCTTTGTGCAACAATCCTGGCTGTCTTGGAACTTGCTTTGTAGATTAGGCTGGCCCTGAACTCACAGAGATTCACCTGCCTCTGCCTCACAAGTGCTGGGATTGATTAAAGATTATTTGCCACCATTGCCCAGTTTGACATTATTCATTTTGTACTTTTCTTTTCTTTTTTGATATGTGGTTCTGACTGGCCCTCAATTCACAGACATCAACCCGCCTCTGCTTCTGAAATACTAGAATTAAAGGCATGAACGACCATATCTGTTTACTACTACTTTTTGGTTTTATCTCTTAAAGACATAACCTCATGTAGCCCAGATTGGCCTCAAACTTGCTATGGGACCAAGGAAGACATTTAATTCCTAATCTTTCTGTCCCCACTCTACCTGTATTGCTGAGAACACAATCTTATATCTTCATGCTTGTGAAATGTGACTATAAAAGCCACATTTCTGGTGAATAGAATTTCATTCATTTGGGACCTTCTCTTCACAATGACCTCTACACTTTTACATACTTTTATTTTGTGTGTGTGTGTGTGTATTTGTAAGCTTAGAGCAAAACCCATAGTGGTTGATTATCTCTTTTATTTTAAATTTTATTTAATTAACATCTTTTTTCATTTATTTTACATACCATCCACAGTTTACCCTCCCTCCTCTACTCTTGTTTCTCCCACACACACACTCATCTACCTCCTCTGCCCACCCTCTCCTCCTCCATCTCCATTCAGAAAGGTGCAGGCCTCCCATGGGCTTGAATAAAGCAAGCTCCTTCCCTGCATCCCAAAAGCCAGCAAGTGCCAGGTCCTGATCTCACTGCTAGGATCCTTATAAACAGACCAAGCTATACAACTATCACACATATGCAAAGAGCCTAGGTCAGTCCTATACAGGTTCCCTAACTGTTGGTCTAGAGTCCATGTGCTCTCATGAGCTCAGATCAGCTGTGATTATGTACTTTTCATTCTGTGGGTTATGGGATCAAATTCAGAGCATCAGGCTTGGCAGCACATACTTTTACCCACTGTCTCAATGGCCCTACTTCTTTCTCTTCCTTCCTTCCTTTCTGTCCTTCTGTCTTCTTTTTCTTCCCCTTTCTTTCCTCTCTCTCTCTCTCTCTGGCGGGTAAGGGAGGTAAGGTCTCAATATGTAGCCCTGACTGACCTAGAACTTCCTATGTAGACTAGGCTAGCCTCAAACTCACAGAGGTCCAGCTGCCTCTACCACCACACCCTACCCTTTCCTTTATATATACATGTATATCCAAAATCAAGGAAGGAAAAAAGAAAAGGCTGGGCTTAACTTACTAGCTTTGTTTTTATCTCACAGTAGGAAATAGGAAAAGCAGGTTGCTATTGCTGAAATCTGCACTTTCCTGTTTTTCCCACAGCAGCCAGTCTTTGGGCCCTATTCTTATTCAGCCTCTTCTTTCTGCTCTGGGCAGTTATATTCTACTAGTTTCTGGCTGATTTAAAAGATACTGGAGGGAGCAAGAGAGATGGTTCAGCAGTTAAGAGCACTGGCTGCTCCTCCAGAGGACCTGGGTTCAATTTCCAGCACCTACATGGTAGGATAGTATATCACAGCTATCTGTAACTCCAGCCCCAGAGGATCCAATGCCCTCTTCTGCCTCCCATGGGCACTGAACACATGTGGTATACTAACAAACATTCAGGGTAAAGACCCATACACATAAAATAAAAATCAAGGTAAAGCACTAAAGAAGCAGAGGCAGGCAGATCTCTGTGAACTCAAGACCAGCATGGTATACATAGTGAGTTAAGATAGATAAGGCTGCAAAGAGAGACCCTGTCTCAAAAAAGAAGAAGAGGAGGAAGGAAGTGAAGAGAGAGTGAGAAGAAGGGAGGGAGGGAGAAAGAGAGAGAGTATATGTGTGTGTTTAAAAAGACACTAAAATGTTTAACATGGTGGTATATGTCTATAATCCTAGCATTGGGAGCTAAAGATATAGAAGATTGTGAATTTGAGGCTATGATGAACTTCATAGCTGGAGAATATAAAAAGACTGTTTCAAGAAACAAAACAATCAGTACAGTAGTTATTTGTTTTTATTTGCAAGAAATAAAACTATAATTTACCTATGAGGTCTTTTGAAGAACTACCTATAGGGAGCTTGCATTTATTCTTTGGATATTAGCAGCTTTCTAACTAACCCAATTTAGCCAAAAAATGGCATCCTAAGCCTGGGATGCAATAACAAACACAACAGTTGTGAAACAGTATGTGTGTGAAGGAAAGTGGGAGAAGAGGGGGACAGACAGGCGTGTGCACACACATGAACACACTCACACACACACACACACACACACACACACACACACACACACACAATGATGAAGCCCTTTTCCCGGGGAAGGGAGTGGGAGGATTCTTTCAAAAAGAATCCTTAAGTCCAAAAGGACTTAGTACATCTCTCCCAAGGTTCTGAAAACAGTGACTTGTGCCATTTACTAAGCAAATATAAGGATCGATCTAATGGTACACACCTATCGGTCCTTGGGAAGGCTGCTAATTGCTAATCAGTTATCATTGCTACAAAGCTACAAAGTACACACCATTTAGAAAAAAGAAAAGCATCATGATTTCATTTTAATATTTTGGATTCATATTTAAGATTACTGGATGTGATGATTAGCTGTAATTGTCAGTTTGACACAACCTAGGAAGAGTCTTAATAAGGGACTGTCCACATTGGGTTAGCTTGTGGTCATAGTGAACTGTGTAAAATGAATAAATCAAGCTGAGCACAAGAAAGCAAGCATTTGTGCCTGCATGTATACATTCATTTCTTCTGCTCTTGACTATGGATATGATATGATTGACTATTTTAAGCTCCATGCTGCAGCTTCTCCATAATGATGGACTGCCGCCTGAAACTGTAAGCTAAAATAAATGCTTTCTCCCCTAAATTGGGTTTTGTCAGAACATCTTATCACAATAAATAGAAATGAAACTAGAACTGGGGAAGAACAAGGGCTCATTTTCTATGTCAGAAGGGAAATTCAGCACAGGTTGAAATTGCTCATCTTGAGAAGTAACTGGAAAATTGTTCTGTATACACACAACACTTTCCCTACATTACAAGAGCATCTTACTATGCCTCAACTGCCAACAGTATGCTTTCTTCTGATTATCTGCTTTCCTTTTGTAACTCTGTAATTTGAATTAGGCAGAATAGGCCTGTGTGGCAAGTCTAAGAAAACCCTGAGTGTCTAATAAGCTTCCATAATGGTATTTTGTATTTGTTGTCACATACAGTAATGGGGGAATTAAATGTGTTTTGTGAGATACCATAATGAGGGGACTCTGGGAAGATTTCTTCTGGCTTTCTCCATGTATTTTTTGAAGCTGCTGCTTCATATCCATCTGCTGCAGTAAGTCTTAGCTGTGAGTATGACTGTATGCCAAGTCCTTTGACAGTTTGTTTTCTTCAGCATTATACTTTGATTGGTTCAAGTTACATGAATCATATTCTCAAGTTTTCATAAATAATCACCATTGCAAGCTAAAACTTAAACCATAAAAACAGTATTAAGAAAATCAAACACGGCAGGTGGTGGCCTCAGTGTAAGCCTTTAATACCAGAACTCAGGAGGAAGAGGCAGGTGGATCTCTGTGAGTTTGAATCCAGCCTGGTCTACAGAGTGAGTTCTAGGACAGCCAAAGCTACACAGAGAAATCCTGTCTCAAAAACAAAAAGAAAGAAGCAAAGAAATAAAAAAAAAAAAGCAAATCAAACACACTGTTCGATCATTTTCAGCAAAAAATGTACTGAACTAAATATATGCAAAAAAGAAAAATATATACCTCAAAAGAAAAACAGGGGAGCGGCTATGGCTCAGTGGTAGAGTACTTTATTAACATGTAGGAGGTACTGATGGGTAATGGGCAAGGTGATCATTGAGCTCCCTCTAGTATTCAAATGTCCATTCAAAGTGTAAAGTATTTTAGCATTGAGTGGCCCTGGACACCTCTAAACCACAGTTTCTTCATATTAAACCCCCTTCTCTGACCAGGGAAAGGAGCTTAAGAGTATATAACATTTTCTCTTACCTTCACTGGCATCTGCAGGAATCTCACTTGCCTCTGGTCTTGGTTGGTCATCTGTACTGTGTTCTCCTTCTGGTTGAATCTGAGATAAGACATCAGGTTGATTCATGGCATAATCTAGGAGAGGAAAAATGGAAAGCACGTATGGCAAAGAGATAAATCAGTATGATAACAAGCAGGTAGCTGAATGTTTGAGCTCCACAGTCAAGGAATTAACTTCCTTTAGATCCTTTATCACTTCTCCTCATCTATGAACCTCCAACTATTTACAAGTTACTCAAGAAAGCAAGTAAAGGAAAATATAATGTATGAGAAAATGCACAGAGTAGGTTAGCTTTGGCTTAAAACCAGATTCTGAAATGTATGAGGACACTGGAGGAACTATTTAAGCCCTTTTGGGACTGCTGGCACCTCATTCAAAAGCTACCAACTCAGCCTCACCCATGGAGACGAGAGACTCGTAGTTGCCCTTCATGATATTCTTGTAAAGTTCTTTTTGCCATTCTTCTAATTTTTCCCACTCTGGGGTGGAAAAGTAGATGGAGACATCGTCAAATGCCACAGGCACCTAAAATTATAATCACATGGGTTAGTTAGTCCCTCCCATCCAAGTCAGTCATTCAATGAATCTTTTCCTCCACTCATTAGCTATTTCATTTAATTTTTACAACCTCAAAGGGAGGCCAATAAATATTTCAGGACCCATGAGATGGCTCAATGAGTAAAGGTATTTGCCAATGAACCTTGTGACCTGAGTTAAACAGCCACAACCTATGGTTAAAGGAGAGAAGTGTCTCCTAGTTAGCCTTGGACCTTCATACATGTACTATGGTTCATTTGCAACCAGATATAGACATACAAAATATAGATGTAATCTGAAAAAATACTTTTAAAAATATTCTAAGCTGGGCATGGTGGCACACACCTTTAATCCCAGAATTTGGGAGGCAGAGACAGACGGGTCCCTGAGTTTGAGGTCAACCTGGTCTACAAAATGAGTTCCAGGATAACCAGTGCTATAGCCTGTCTCAAACCAAACAAAATTTTAAATAACTTATTCTGTTTTTCCTTGTGGTTTTAAATACTATTTTTATTGAGAATTTTATTTGCTAGCTTGTTTTTTTTTTTTTTTTTGAGGGTTTCTCTGGCTGTCCTGGAACTTGCTCTGTAGACCATGCTGCCTCTACCTCCAGAGTCCTGGGATGAAAGGCGTGAACCACCACCACTGGGCACATTAATTGAAAATTTTATACAATGTATTTTAATCATATTTATCCCTTCTTCAGTTCACACCCACCTTCCTATCCACCCAACTTTTTGTTCTCTCTCTTCCAAAGCCCATTAAGTCCAATTTGTGTTGTCCAAACATTCTTGGGTGGGGGGGGGGGGCCTGCGTCAGAAGCATGGTTGACTTACATCCTCATTCCTTTCTCTCAGTGTTCCTAAGCTTACCATTTATCATTAATAAAACCCTGACACCCTGACAAAACACAAAAAAAATATGTAGCTGGAACCCTTTCTGAAACATATTTAGATGTCCTATAAACATGTGACATAGTGAAAACATCTCAATGTCACATGTTAAAACTTCAACTATATTGTCATGTCACCTGTTTTTATCTGCCATTCCTTAAAAACACTATTCCTCAGGACATCTGACTTCTCTAGTATTGTGTTTTCCTCTAATTCTTCTAATCTTTTACCAAGGAGATTTCCTCTCAATGCAGTTTCTCCTGCATATGGAATAAAGGAACATTCCATGCCTCATGACTAAAAATCAATAGGAGTTATGTTAGAATAACATGTATTGAACCAGAACTTAAATTTCTCCATATATCTTAAGTCTTTTTTGAAGCTTTGCATATTCTTTTTTGATGTTGCTTTTACAAACATTAATTTTCCTACATTATTTGTTGTGTTTTTCAGTCACTATATAAAATCTTCATTTTCTTTTTCCTAAGGGTTATGTTGTTCAAAATGTCAGCTCTTAATCATAAACTTTGCTCCTTTTATATCTTATATGCTGATTTGGCTTACATAAACACGTGTCTATATAGTAATTGTACTTTATTTGTATTTTCTTGGGCTGGGATGTTGTTTAGTTGGTAGAGTATTTGCCTAGCCTGTATAAAACTCTGGATTCAATTTCCGGAACTACTACCAGGTATGGTGCTGTACTCTTGTAACCCTAGCACTCAGGAGGTAGAGGCAGGAAGCTTAGTCATTTCTGTCATTTAATGACTTTTTGGTCAGCCTGCCACATGTGAACATCTCAAACAAATAATACACATATTCTTTCATTCATTTCACCACTTGGCAAAACAATTTCATGTTGTCCATAGCTGTTCCTGGTCAAGTTATTTGTAAAAGCAAGTTTCTTCATTGGGTAAAGGAGCTATGGAAGGATTCTCCTTAGGTTTTTGTTTCTGTTCTGATATATTGAATCTAGAAAGAGAAAAGCTTTGGTGTTAGGACCAGCTCCCATGGCCAAAGAAATTCTTGCCATTTGTGTCCAGATTGTCCTTTTAAAGAGCATGCACAAGAAACTTAGAAAGCCCCCTTCTCAAAAGGAATTGTTTCTGCAACAGTGTCTAGCTATATAGCATAAGCTGACTTCCACTTCTGCATTCTCATTCCTTAGACTCTCAAATACTGGGATTACAGGAATGCACTAACAACTTGCCTATTATTTTGATTTTTTTTTTTTTTAATGCGTTCTTCTACTCTTTTCCTTTGGATGTCTTCCAAAGACATATCCTCTTTTTCTCCTATGTTCTGTTTCCCACTGAGAGTGCTCACCAGGAAAGGTCTAGGCTGTGTCACGGGTTAGCTTGACATAGTGTTAAATGAAATGTTTTGTCTATTTCTTTGTTTTTTTCAAAACATGATCTCACTATATAGCATTGGCTGTCCTGGAACTAACTATGTAGACTAGGTTGACTATGAATTCACAGAGATATGCGTACCTCTGCCTCCATGCCAACACACCTGGCTCCAATTCTTTTAAGATTTATTTTTATTTAGATGTATGTGTGTATGTGCACATGAATACAGATACCCTTGGAGGCCAGAAGAGGGTGTCAGATCCAGAAGCAGGAGTAACAGGCGATTGTTACTGTACGTGGGTCCTCTTAGAAGCAGCAAGTACTCTTCTTAACTGCTGAATTACTTAATTCTTTATGGGCCTCTAAGACTTGTACTTTCTCCTGCAGTCTCTTCAGTTTGTATTTGGAAAAGATTTTCTCTTTCCAATCCACTGCAGTTTGTCTTCATGACTACATGTTTCTTCTGTGATGTGTTCATTCAGCCCAGGCTTTTCATTCCATCACTGTGTCTGTTTCTCTTTTGATATCTTCCCAACTTCTAGTTACACTGTTTCAGTGTGGCTTCTTAAATTTTAGCATCCCTGTTTCATCCTCCTCTACCATGTCCTTCAATATTTGGTTTGTGTTTGGCAATTCATTCTTTGACTAAAAAAAAAATTAGGTCACTTAAATCTACAAAATACCTATTTGCTATTTTGGATCAGAATATTCATTGTTTTCCATTTTCAATGCATTTTCCATTTTCTGCATTTCAATGTTTGCAACTTGTTGCTATTTAACCAACATACTGAAGTTCCTTTCTGGCTAACTCTATGCCATGGAAATCCTACAATTTTTTCACACTTTTCTTTTTCAGATTGCTTCTAAACATCATGTTCCACTCTCATTTTTTCATTAAATTCATGAATCTGTTTTCATATTCTAGTTTGTCTTTTTTTTTTTTTTCCTCCTGTTGGGGTGGGGTGGAGAGATAGCCATGGGTGCTGGGAACCAAACTCTTATATTTTTGGTTTCGAACACAAACTTTAACACCTAAACCACTTATCCAGTCCTCAAATTTGTTTTTCACTTATATTATAAAAGTACTACAAAGTACCATAATTTCTGATAAATGTCTTCCATTGTAGCACATGTCTTACATATTAATACATGATCTTTTAAGAAATGGACATTTTACTCTGTTGCCAAGGGTGCTCTCAGACTCCTGAACTTAGGTGCACAGCACTGCTGCAAGCTCCCTTTAAGAATGCTATGTAGAGCTGGGTAGAGGTGGCTGTAGCAGGTAACCCTGGCACTGGGGAGGCAGAGGCAGGCCAATATCTGTGAGTTCAGGCTACACTGACTCAAAAAAAAAAAAAAAAACAAAAAACAAAAAAAAAAAAAACTCACCATGTAGTATTTATCAGCTGATTTGAACATTTCATTATCTGACTATCTATCCATTTCATCTTGAATCTTATTCCTCTCCCTGTCCAGTTCACACCTAGATCTTGTTACCTCCAGTTTTTTGTTTGTTGTATCTAGTTTGAATTTTTTTTTAAAGTCAATGTATTTCTTGTTCAATTTTATGTGATTTGATGACTTGAAAGATATTTTGTCTGGCAGTTCTAATTTTTGTTTTGTTTTGTTTTGTTTTGCCATGCTTGGAATCAACCCTAGAGCTTTGTTCATGTTATACAAATGCTCTACCACTAAGTTACATTCCAAGACTCTTTTTGTAGCTCCCCCCCCCCCAAGCAGTCAGCTTATAATTTAGCTGACATTATCTGTGGTTAGAGAGTCTTTGAAGGACATTCTGGGTTGTTTCTTTCGAGATGGAGTATTGTGTATAGCCCAGTCTGAATCAGAACTTGCTAGGAGGCTAAGGATGGCTTGGACGCGGTGCTCCTGTCTCCGCCTCCTGAGGGTTGGATTCTAGGCATGTGCCACCAAGCTCAGTCTCATTGGAGATTTTCTACTTGAGTAAACAAATTTTTTCAGCCAGAATTCTAACACTTCAGCCTCTGAATAAATTAAAAGACTTAAGTTACTCACTCTATTTAATTATCTATTTCATTATTTATTTATGTAGTAATTGAGATAGAGTCTCATGTAGCCCAGGCTGGCTTTGAACTCCTGATCCTCCTACCTCTCAATTGCCACAATGTCATGTCATCATGCCCAGATCATTGGGGTTTTTATTGTTTTTTTGTTTGTTTTTTTTCCCTTCCAAAAATCATTCAAATTCTTTCTGGTATTCAGATTTTTGGGTTTTGTTTTGTTTTCCTGTATTACAAATGCAATGCTGACCTCATGTCCTTATACGTGCTAGGTGAGGTGCTCTATCACTGAGCTACATCCAGTCACCGGTGTTAAGATACTGATTTAAGAACAAGTCCGTAAAAGACACAAAGAATAAATAAAAATAAAGTTTAAAAAAAGAAAAACTTCTTAGCTGCTGGTGATGGTATGGTGCATGCTTTCTTTTAATCCCAGCACTTGGGAGACAGAGGCAGACAGACCTTTGTGAATTCAAGACCAGCCTGATCTACAGCCACGAGTTCCAGGACAGCCAGGAGTTCCAGGACAGCCAGGGCTACAGGGAAAATACTTATCTCAAGAAAAAAAAAAAGAAAAAGAAAGAAAAAAAGTGTGAGGGCATGGAGAGCTCTGTTCTTTATTTCACATATCTACAGATCCCAAATTCACTACTTCCTAATTCTTATTGTTTTAGGTTCATAATAATTCAAGTTTTTGTGGAGCT